TATGATGAGAACATTATAATTGTGTGTTTGGGACGTGGCTTTTAATGGTGAGACTTTTGCTTTTGTTATCAGGTTCTCAAAAATTATAAACAAATTTGGCTCATACAAAATAAAACAAAGGCATCTGTTCTTATAGCTTCCCACCATAAATATCTCCAGATAGATGCAACATGTATATTTAGAAAGGAGCATTCCCTGTATAAATAACGGAACAAGCGAACAATGAGCACAGTTTGACACTCTTTGATGAGGATGGATTCAAACTCACAGGAAGAACATTGTCTCCTGAAGTGGATTTACAGTTTACAACCTCTTCTGTATAAACTTTAGAACCAGTAGTCATTGTCATATGTTAATAAGGAATATTTTACCTAAAAATGACAATTCTGTTATAATTTGCTCACCGTCGTGTCGTTCCAAACCTGTATGACTTTCATCTACGGTGGAAAAAGGGAGAAGTTTAGCAGAATCTCTGTTTGGTGCTACTTTTATTACACTGAAAGGAAATGGACGGATGATGTCTGTCAAGCTTCAAACATGGCAAAAACATGACTAAAGCAAATTTAAAGTGTTCTGATGTTGTATGATAGCTTTGTGTGAGGAGCATACTAAAGTTTAAGTTGCTATGTTTAATCGCCATCCCATGGGAACTTTGTTAATGTAGGCTACTGTACTTGCTTTCATTTGTTTTGATTTGTTATTTCCCACAGTTATTATTATCCCCTACACTGGTACTAAAGAGCATCAATGTTTGCTTATTTTTGCTCAATAGTGAGTTTTGACCTTCAGGACAGGTACATCCATCTCAGTCAGAACTCATGGATTATGAAGATACAATTCCTGCAACTTAACTTTCAGTAGCCTAACACATCAGCAACAACCTCAACATATAAATGTTGAGCTCATAATCTCAGAGGAACCATGAATCTTGTCTGGATGTTACCTACAGGGACAGACTGTATACTCATTTTGGTCGTTAGAACCATCTGTATAAATTTGCCAAAAATGTGTTCAGTATTTAAATACTGCTGCACTATTATTGTTACAGATCAGCTCTCCCACCAGCCAATCACAGCGCACTCCCTCACCTGAGTACTAATCACTCACACCTGGACCTGGCTGCACCTCATCATCACCACCACTATAAACACACACTCCTCACCTCTGCTCACCGTCCGATCTCGTTCATTCGAAGTGGACTCCTTACCCAATATCCAAACCTGATCAACCTGATCTCTCTCCCTGACGATTCTTCAGTCTCCATTCCAGTCTCCTCTCCAGCGTCCTATCTCCAGTTCCTTCTCCAACGTCTCGTCTCCAGTTCTCCATCTCCAGTGAGTGTCTTCTGTGTTCCACGTTCCAGCGATCCATCTCTCCCACCTCCTGTCATAAGAAGCACCATTCCAATCATCGCCTGCACACCGCTCTTCATATTACCATTGTTCATTTCACTTACCTGCTATCTGTTCCTGCTCAGTGTTGTCAATAAACCGTCACTAACGTCAACAACCATCTCTTGAGTCTGCTTCCGTAACAATTATCTCTTTTGGAACATATTTCTGGTTTCCATTTATTTGCTTAAGTATATGCAGATCAACTGTTGGCATAGAGAAGAGCCAAATGGGGCTAATATTGATATTACTGAAGCCTATTTGTTGAGCCTGTTTGCCTACTGTCCAGCCAAAGCTATTCAGATATGTCTTCTCATATTCCCGGCAGTTTCCCAATATTTCTTTGACTGGGTGATTTGTAAAATGACCTTTAATACCAGTCCAGTATACCATTTTTAGCTGAATTTCACTAATGTCAAGTGCCTTTTCATCCATTTCTGCTAAGGTGTCACAGGAGAAGCTCCACAACATATTCTAAGAGCTTGTTTTTGAATCACCTCTATCTTTGTAAGCAGTGAGGTTGATGCTGAGCCATGTATTATTCTACAATAATCAATTGATGACCTAATTAATGCACAGTATACCATTTTAAGAGAATGCCTTGTAGCATTATTACTTCGGACAGAGCTTATTTTAATACACATAATTTCATTAAATCATGCAAAAACGTTTGCAGCAGTGAGTGTTGTATATACAAATGATTTAATCAATTCATATATATGGATGGATGAATGGATGGACGGACGGACAGACAGATGGACAGACTATGTGGTTACTGCCCAAAGATAATTTCCGCTGTTCTCTGGAGTAGCCTATGTTATACTACAGGTCCTTCTAAAAAAAATAGCATATTGTGATAGTTCATTATTTTCCATAATGTAATGATAAAAATTAAACTTTCATATATTTTAGATTCATTGCACACCAACTGAAATATGTCAGGTCTTTTATTGTTTTAATACTGATGATTTTGGCATACAGCTCATGAAAACCCCAAATTCCTGTCTCAAAAAATTAGCATATCATGAAAAGGGTCTCTAAACGAGCTATTAACCTAATCATCTGAATCAACTAATTAACTCTAAACACCTGCAAAAGATTCCTGAGGCTTTTAAAAACTCCCAGCCTGTTTCATTACTCAAAACCGCAATCATGGGTAAGACTGCCGACCTGACTGCTCTCCAGAAGGCCATCATTGACACCCTCAAGCAAGAGGGTAAGACAGAAAGAAATTTCTGAACAAATAGGCTGTTCCCAGAGTGCTGTATCAAGGCACCTCAGTGGGAAGTCTGTGGGAAGGAAAAAGTGTGGCAAAAAAACGCTGCACAACGAGAAGAGGTGACCGGACCCTGAGGAAAATTGTGGAGAAGGACCGATTCCAGACCTTGGGGGACCTGCGGAAGCAGTGGACTGAGTCTGGAGTAGAACCAGAAACAGCGGCAGAAGCGCCTGACCTGGGCTACAGAGAAGCAGCACTGGACAGTTGCTCAGTTTTGCATGTCATTCGGAAATCAAGGTGCCAGAGTCTGGAGGAAGACTGGGGAGAAGGAAATGCCAAAATGCCTGAAGTCCAGTGTCAAGTACCCACAGTCAGTGATGGTCTGGGGTGCCATGTCAGCTGCTGGTGTTGGTGCACTGTGTTTTATCAAGGGCAGGGTCAATGCAGCTAGCTATCAGGAGATTTTGGAGCACTTCATGCTTCCATCTGCTGAAAAGCTTTATGGAGATTTCATTTTTCAGCACGACCTGGCACCTGCTCACAGTGCCAAAACTACTGGTAAATGGTTTACTGACCATGGCATTACTGTGCTCAATTGGCCTGCCAACTCTCCTGACCTGAACCCCATAGAGAATCTGTGGGATATTGTGAAGAGAAAGTTGAGAGACGCAAGACCCAACACTCTGGATGAGCTTAAGGCCGCTATCGAAGCATTCTGGGCCTCCGTAACACGTCAGCAGTGCCACAGGCTGATTGCCTCCATGCCACGCCGCATTGAAGCAGTCATTTCTGCAAAAGGATTCCCGACCATGTATTGACTATTGAGTGCATAACTAAACATAATTATTTGAAAGTTGACTTTTTTTTTATTTTTTTTTTTTTTATTAAAAATAATTTTTTTTATTCTTTTATTGGTCGGATGAAATATGCTAAAAAAAAAATCTAAGTTTTCATGAGCTGTATGCCAAAATCATCAGTATTAAAACAATAAAAGACCTGAAATATTTCAGTGGGTGTGCAATGAATCTAAAATATATGAAAGTTAAATTTTTATCATTACATTATGGAAAATAATGAACTTTATCACAATATGCTAATTTTTTGAGGGACCTGTATAGGAAAGGCCAGGGAAAAGAAAGAGCAGATCAGTGTTTTATAGGAGGAGCTTCACATGCTTTTTTTCATACTGGTGTATTATCTTGTACGAACAGCATTTCAGTGTTTGATGCACAAAGATACAGCTAAAAGGTAAGCTTCATAGACAACATAGCCTATAATAAATCATGAATATCAAAAATGGTAATGTTCTATAGGCCAATCTAAAACATAAGTCTAATTAATGCTATCGTTTTCAAACACGAAAGTAGTTTCTCAGATATAAATAACTATTTATTAACACTTTATTTTACGTGTCCTTGTTACATATTACATGTCCTTATAGTAGGCTAATAAATAAAATTTCATAAAAAGAATTCGTCCATTCAGTCATTCTTTATCGAGCTGACTTCAGTTTCATTTCAAGTTAAACGTTCTAGTTTCTGACCGGTCAGCAGAAACCTTATGCAAACACTGCTCACAATGATAAGGCTTGTTTATGTGGCTCCACCCTGAGCTCCATCTGCGATACTGTCATGAACTGCTCGGTGGAAACAGACAGTGGTGATCCAAATGCAGCCTTTATTGAGAAGATCCAGAAACAGGAACGAGAGGACAGGCAGAAGTCAAAACCAGGTAAGTAGTCCAGATCAGCAATCATACAATGCAGGGATAAGGCAAACGGGAAAACCAGATACAGGCAGGGAGTCCAGGAACTGTGAAACTAGAAAACACTAAGGAACTAGGAAAACGCTCAGCATGCAGTATGACACTTACAAAACTACCCAAAGGTACAAAGGGCCACTCAGGCTTAAGACAGGACAAAAAAAATCAAACACAGGTGCACAAAATAAAACATAATGAGTCCATGGTGAAACCTAGCACAGGAAGAGAGTGCCCTCGAGAGGCTCACGCGGGCACTCCAGCTGGCATACATGACAGGCATTCATGACAGATACCATGTTAGAATTTTTTTTTTACGTAAACATCTTACGTAAACATCTCGAAAATGTATTAGTTTATGTTGACGTGCATTAATTAAAGATTTGTTTACTGTTAGTCTGAAGTAACAGTTGTGTTAACAAAAGTGTGGTTACTTCTATGAGTGTAAATATCTGAAAGCACAACTAGAATTTAAGGATTATTAATTCAGCCAATACTGCTGGCTTTTATTTGTAAAGATAACAATACATTATTGACTATATTAAAACTATAAAGAATCAATAAAAAATTAAAATCTGTAATATGATATACAACATAAAATATCTCAAATCATATATCCTTTTTCTTTTTAGATGGCGTTCAGTTTCGGAGTGCCCTTTACTCTCAACGCTCCACTTACTTTATCAGAAGAGCAAAGAAAGCAGCTCTGTGGTTTGCTGGGGAATGTTGAACTGACTCTTCTCTACAAAGCTTCTGTTCATGGATATAATGCTTCTGCCTTCCATCAGCGATGTGACCATCAGGGTCCCACTTTACTTGTAGCCTATAACAGATCAGGCTACATCTTTGGTGGATACACTAGTGTAGATTATACTCAAAGTGGACGGCAAATTACAGATGAGGAAGCTTTCCTGTTCAGCATTCGAGGCGAGATCCCTGTGTGCATCAAAGTTAATAGTGGACATTATGCACGTCTTGATGACGCTGGAGGACCCAACTTTGGTGATCAGTTGTACTTTTGCTACAACAACCAACCAGCTTTGTATCATCAAGTACAGCATTTATTTGGAAGTGTGAGGGTTAATCCATTCAATTTTAATCCTGCCACACTGTATGGGAATGACACTCAGTTGAATGAATGTGAGGTGTACAAAGTGGAACGGAGTAAGTCAACTATCATATTTTTTTTTAATATAATTGTTTATTGAATTTTAAATACACACATATAGTTGTGTAGAGTAAATTATATAAATTCAGAGTTCAGTATTTTAAAATGTACTGCTGTTAATGTTACCGTCAAATTAAGTCAAAGTAAGTTGTATAATAAAACATCCTCAGAAGAAGATCCTCAGATCAGTGTCAAGATGAAGCCATGGAGGAATGTTCAGTGGACAGAAAAGTAAGTTTTCACTCAATGTTGTTTTGCTGCTGATTTCATACAGTTTTGTACAGAAATAAAATCTCTGTTGTAGACGAAGAGACGAGCTCATGAAAATGATCAGGAATTATAAACCCATGATGACGTCTGTGAGTCGGGTCAGAATTCTAATGATCGGTCCTGTAGGTGCTGGAAAATCCAGTTTCTTCAACTCCATCAACTCCGTCTTCATGGGCCGCATGACCAGCAAAGCCATGTCAGGATCTGCAGGCACTAGTCTGACCACACAGGTACAGATTCAACAGGATTCATAGTGTTTCCTACAGAAGTGTCTCTTCAGGTCGAGGAACAGCTCTTGATGACTTCAGGTCTTGATGTGTTTCTCTTCTTGGTTGGTAGTTTCGCACATACACAGTGAAAGACGGCCGTGAAGGAAAGCCGTTGCCATTTGTGTTGTGTGACACCATGGGACTCGAGGAGCAATCGGGTGCAGGACTGGATATTGATGACATCAGCAGCATTCTTCAAGGTCACGTACCAGACCGCTATAAAGTAAGTGCACTGTTCTCCAGAATCAAGAATAACAATGTTTATTTCACTCTAAATCTTCTTGGTTCAGTTCAACCCCACAACACCGTTTCAACCGGATGAGCAAAAGGCCTCCAGACCTGCATCTCTACAGGAGAAGATCCACTGTGTGGTGTATGTGATCGACGCCACCAAAATCTCCCTCATGTCAAGCAAACTAGAGGAAAAACTTGCAGCCATACGCAGAAAAGTGAACACACTGGGTAAGTTATTTATCTTATGTTAAGTTACTTGTCTTATGCCAAATGTTTCACGACTAACTAATGGTTATTTACACATTTTTTAAGGCATTCCCCAGATGGTTTTGATGACAAAAGTAGATGAAGCATGTCCTGATGTGATGGAAGATCTTCAAAATATTTATATGACTTCTTACATCAAGACGAAGGTGAGACATGATCACCCGATCACATGGACTTTTCGTTGAGGACTCAGTGACTTGTTGTTCCTTCACATTAAGTCACTCTCTATAACCTTCAACCTCTCTTAAACCTGGCATTGTTTACTACGAATATTGTCGGTTTTGTGACAAATTCCTCATGCTCATCTTTGTCACTTTGAATAGAAATGCCTGCTAAATGTATAGATGTAAATGACATGTTGTTTTGTCTCTGCAGGTGCAGGAGGTGAGCTCTCGGTTGGGTGTGCCGGTGTCTTGTGTGTTACCGGTGAAGAACTACAGTCAGGAGCTGGAGCTGGAGCTCAACTGTGACGTCCTGCTTCTCACCGCTATACAGCAGATGCTCAACTTTGCAGACGACTATCTGGATGATGTTGGTCCTATTTAGGACAATCTTATAAAGTGCTACTAGTGGAGTTTTATCTCCCTTTGTAGCTGATTTAATATTATATTTGTGTGTAAGCTTGTACTCATTATTATCGATGTACATCTCTAAGGCATCTTAAGATAATTCTGTTCTCTTTGTCTGTTCTATTTCTTTAAGAATCTTACATAGCCATTCAAGGTAATGATGCATTATTGCTGTTGATTGTTACAATTTTGTGCCACAATATGTTTTTTAAGAATAATACTAATGAATGTTAGTAATGCGAATTAAGAGAAATCACACCACTGTGTAAGCATACTTTTTTTTATTTCGATAAATAGGACATTAGTGATTCTGTTTGAAAGTTTTGTTCAAAAAGATTTAAATAAAAATTAACAATTTATTATTCACATTTTTATGACTAAATTACTTTTACTTCTGTATAGAAAAATATATGTAATAAAATATACTTTATATAATTATATATTTGGTCATTTTGGAACAACTGAGTGACAAAAGCCTCACTTGAAGGTCATGACTTTGCTATTACACTCATACTCAATAGTATTTTTAGGCTATTATTATTATTAATAATATAATAATAATAATAGAGCTAGCATACTCTATATTGTAATATTGAATCTGAACTTAACACTTATAAAATGTATTATGAACTGTATAGCTGTACTATTTTTATAAGTTCATAAAGAGATTGTAAAACTAATCCATACAAATGTAGCTGTTTAGTCCAAATTTTCTGACGATCGCTTTGTGTCCGGTGAGAGACAAACGCACGAAGAATGAAGGTTAACAGGCTTTAGGCTAATACACAAGATAAATCCAATGACATTCCACACAATGTACATAGATGAGACCCGGCAAAGAAACACAAACTGAACAGGACTTAAAAAGGGGAGATAATGACACACACACACACCTGAACACAATAACGAAATCAAATGAATTACCATGATTACAAACAAGGCAGGGAGAAACGGTGCAAACGAAAACACACATGGGTGCTTCTCATTTCTTATTTGTGCATCCTCTTTTCCTTTTCTCGCTTCCTTTCCTCGCGTCTCAGCTCCACCCCCTGTAGGACGCGAGGGAAGGCTGCAAGGAAAAAAAATGAGGACGGAGGAATTGAATGAAAGCTTTTTTATACATTGGAATACTTGATCACTCGAGCGTCACTTCACTGCGTCGTCAGCAGTGCTCAAAGGATCTGCCCTTATGTTGTTAAAGTTTGTTTATTTAAGAAATTCATAATAAATAATAATAAAGCAAGATACCTTGTTGAAATATGTGAGTTGTGTGGTTTATGTAAACTACAAAAGTAAAGTATAAATTCAAATGATTGTGACAGATGTGAAGGGGGAGGAGAATTGATACGTGCGTCATGTTTAGTCGATAAAACTCTTCCGCAAAGGGTACACCTGTGTATCCTCGCTCATAGCTCCTCTGGAAGCCTCCTCACTCCTCGATCCTCGCCTCCTCGCGGTGCAATTAGAGAATTGAGATGTCCTTCAAGATGGCTGAGCTCGATCGGTTTCCGGGTCATAGGATGGAGGACGGAGGAGCGAGGAGACGAGGAGGGATATTGAGAAGCACCCAGTGTGTTGGCCCAGATCCGGCCCACATCCGGGCTGTGTGGATTCCAGGTGCACCAGATGTGGGCCGGACCTGGGCCGATACTGGGTGCTTCTCAATTCTTATTTGTGCATCTTCGTTTCCTTTCCTGGCTTCCTTTCCTCGCGTCTCAGCTCCACCCCCTGTAGGACGCGAGGGAAGGCTGTAAGGAAAGAAAATGAGGACGGAGGAATCGAATGAAAACTTTTTTATACATTGGAATACTTTATCGCTCGAGCGTCACTTCACAGCGTCATCAGCAGCGCTCAAAGGATCTGCCCTTATGTTGCATTAGTTTGGTTATTTAAGAAATTCATAATAAATAATAATAAAGCAAGACCCTTTTGAAATATGTGAGATGTGTGGTTTATATAAACTGCAAGGGTAAAGTATAAATTAAAATTATTGTGACCGATGTGAAGGGGAGGACAATTTATAGGCTACATGTGTCACGTTTGCAAAGGATACACCTGTGCATCCTCGCTCATAACTCCTCTGGAAGCCTCCTCACTCCTCGGTCCTCGCGGTGCAGTTAGAGAATTGAGATGTCCTTCAAGATGGCTGAGCTCGATCGGTTTATGGGTCATAGGATGGAGGATGGAGGAGCGATGAGACGAGGAGGGATATGAGAAGCACCCATTATGTTGCTGTCTGGGAAAGAAAATGAGGACGGAGCAATCGAAGGAAATTATACGTGGATTTCTCTGCAACGTCATCACTGCTTGCGCAAGCAACCGGGAGGCAGAAAAAAAAGACATGTTTCGTGGTTTCGTGCAGTAGGCTAGTGGTGGTGTCTGTAACGTAAACAAGCGTGACGTAACTTATATAAAAGCAAATTCGGGCTGTCCAGTAGATGCTGCACTGCTAACATAATAATTTATACATCACTAACGCTGCAAAATTAAAGACAGACAAACAGATCCAACTAAAATCACGTTGTATTGAGTCAGCACAGCAGTTATATACAAACAAAACAATACATACAATAAGGAAAGCTTCAATACTTAAGGTTGTTGCAGTAGCGGACCAGCTCACCAATTTGGCTTTCTGCCTCTGGTATGCGCACGCACCCTGTAATGTTTGTAAACAGGAAACCCGTCAATTTATATATTGAAATAATCTTGATCACTCGAGTGTCACTTCATTCAATGGGCTAATGTTGATGAATTTGGGTTATTTAAGAAATTAATAAATAATAAAGATAAATGCCCTGATGTGTGACATGTGTCCCTGTTTAACTATCTTGTCCACGTCCTCGTTTCCCTTAAAAATTACTCTAATTCTCATTTGGCAGATTCTACAAAGTCGGCCTACTTCTATATCTCATTCTGATTTTCCATATGAATCTGAACAGATTACTACTGTTGTATGTTAGATTTCTTCCACCCACTAGGCTATCTAAATAGCGACCATCTCTGTTGCATACTGATTTATTGTTAGCAGTTCTTCTTGCAAATTTATATTTAAAGTGAGGAACATACATTGCAGCGGCTGTACACCCAGTTTGGTCTTTAGAACAATCTGTATAAATTTGCAAAAAAATCAAGTATTCAGTATTTAAATCCTGCTGAACTATTATCTCTTTTGGAACATATTTCTGGTCTTCATTTATTTGCTTTTAGGCTACGTGAAAGTTTAAATGTATAATTTTAAATGCATTTAAATTACATTAATGTATAGGTTTAGATTAATTTCGAACATTATACTCACAAAACACGTTTGGTTAGTTACAATGACAGAGCCTGCAATTTTCTGAAAACCTAAAAATCTCGAAATAATTTTGTACATTTGCATACAAGGAGGTGACGTTGAGGACCGGACGTGATGACGCAAGACCTCTCGTCCGTATACGTGCGCGTTCTTGAGTGCGCTCGGAACAAGTAGAGGACGACGAGGCTTCACCGAGGGCTTGCAGCAGTACTGTGTTTTCCTCTAGAAACAGGCCCGTCATTCACTCTGTTACACATTTAACAACATTTCACCATGAGAAGGAAGCTGTTCGGCGCAATTGTCGCCATTTGTATCGGCTGGTTCCAAGCCGAGGCTTTTACAGGTACGGCGTCTTGTTTTTCTATTGATCATGAAGCTCGCGAGCTAATTTTTTTCAGGCCGGGTGTTGACATAAACACGACCTATACGGCAAGCCGACTGCTTTTACACTGATTTTACCTCACAGTAAAGCGAAATACATAGATGATGAACGTTTGAAAGGGTTTGAAATGTTAAAAAGACGTTTAAACCGTCGGCCAACTCGCGCACGAGCATACGCGAAATGGCTCACGCGCATCGAGCAACAGCTGATTTTTGTAAAATAATTATTTTTCTCAGTGATGCTCGTTTAGTCATCTCAAATTCAAAAAATGTAAGTCGTTATCAAAAAAAAAAAAGTTTTTATTCTATATTAATATAAACAATTAATAAAAAAGCGTTAATATGTTAGCGACAGTAATGATCATCACGGCATTAAAGCCAAAGTACAAAACCCACCATGTGGATTTTCTGGTCTTTCATGTAAAATAACCTTTAATCCCAGGCTAGGGGGGTGTTGTAGCCTTCTAAGTTACACATTTCTCAAACTAAAGAGGATCTCTCTGTGTATCATGCTTCTTAGTTGACGTTTAATTATTGCCAGGACTCTTCGAAATTTTGCTTGTTAGAAATATAAATGCTTGTCCTAATTCCTGGCAGGTCAGTTAACGTTACTCCAGTGAATGATGTAATAAGCATCAGGCAGCCATGACAACTGGAGCAGGCTAGTTTTGGAGGCATGCTGTCTAGTACAGTAAAACATTAGTTAAGTGTAACCTTTAATCACAATGAAAGCTTGGGGAGGCAAAACATGTTTCGTCCAATCATTTGGCATGAAGGAGGCCTCTAGGCAGCATTTTTCATCTCTTAGTCTATCCTTGTTCAGCAAAAGGCTTAGCTTAAGCTCATTATAATGTCCCATCACTGGAAATGGCACAGGAATCCAATCCCACGGAACTTGTAGACATGCAACCATTGCTCACTTACGGTAATGAAAGTTTAGCAGTTTAGAATTTAGTTGTAAATCATGTACTGTAAAATTTATTTAAATATGTTAAACAGCATCCCCATCCTTTTAGATGCATCAGTTGGTTTGCATGATGAATGAAAATGGCAGAGTAATGAGGATGATTTTGTTTTATGGTCTGGCACCACCATTATAATTTTAGTCCCCAACAGCAGCAGCTGATGAATGGCTGGGTCGGTAAATCTGAAACCTAATCGGCTTCATAGAGCGCTAAACACTTCAGGAGGTGCTTTTTCTGCACGTAAGCACTAATATTTCCTCAAAATGACACAATATGTGCCTGAGCAACAGATTTGCTCATGCTGTTGTTGCATTGTCTCATAGTACTCTCATTTGTTATGAGAGAACATCAGGCCACATAACTGGATGGCGTAAGTCATAACTTCTCAGAATTAATGAGTTTCCCCTTAGTTCTCGATCCTAAGCTCTGCTCAATAAATTGGGTTAAAGCGAAAGGGCAGGTATTTTATGTTGTGTTTTTGTGCTTGGTATGCTATTGGCAGCCATTTTGAACTTTGGAAAATGCCTAGAGAAGGTGTTTGTCAGCATGTTGTGGGTGAGGATAGTCCTGTCCTTCAACTTTTTTGAATTACTCACTAATCTGTGGGCGTATGCAAAAATATATACTTTCAAAACTAGTCACTGGGTTTCCTGAACCACTAGTTAACTAGCCTTAAAGGAATAATTCACTTCAAAATGAAAATTGTCATTGTTTACTCACCCTCAAGTTGTTCAACTTTAAACCTGGCTGAATTTCTTTCTTCTGCTGAACACAAAGATGATATTTTGAAGAATGTTGGTAACCAGACAGTTGATGGACCCTATTGATTTCCATTATCCATAGTTGGAAAAAAAATACTATGGAAGTCAATGAGGTACATCAACTGTTTGCTTGCTGACATATCATCTGTGTTCAGCAGAAAAAAGAAATTCAGCCAGGTTTGAAACAACTTGTGGGTGAGTAAACGATGACGGTGAACTATTCCTTTAAAGTCGGCTTGAAATGTAAATTCATGTTAAAGAACTACATGTTGTGTGAATGATTAATCTATGTAAGTTTCGTTAATTTTTTTGATCTCATGTTAAATCAATGTCATAACTTGATATTCCAGTAAAAAGAACAGAAGTGTGCCGGACATCTCCGATCCCTTTAGTCCATTTATATCGCCCTTCTACAATCGACTTCAAGTTTGCTTTGATTTGAGTGTTTGTGCACATCTCAAAATTCAATCCACAATTGATGAATAGAACGAAGTCCACGCCGTTTTTTTTTTCCGTTTTTTTTTGTCTATCCGAGTGTAACAGATTAATGTCACAGTATGAAATAATTGATCTATCGCTACTTCTATGTCATTTCAAATAAAAATGTAAAATTAAAAAGACAAACCAAGGAAAGTTAAATTGATATTTTGAAATTTGCCACTTTTTTTCTCTCTGTGTTTGTCTAGTGAGAAATTATAATTTGCTTTTCTGTCATACATTGTTATATTGAAGCGAGAATTAGCGATTCTGTAGCTGATACCGACTACTGATTTCTTGTCATCATGATGGGTGGATACGGATCCTGATCATTCAAGCTTTATATAAGGGATATGTAAGCTCTGTTGAATGTCAGCATTAACCCTTACGCCTTGAAGGGATTTTTTATGATTTCACATGAGTTCAAGTGGCATACTTAAAAGTAAGGGCTTACAACTCTACAAAAAAAAGGTATCAACAGGTACACTGTTTAATTTGATAGAAAACCTTTCAAATTTTAAGGAAAATAGATTTTGATCATGTTTGGAGGTTCTTATTTTACAACACTACCAAAGTCCTTTTAGGCAAGTCATGCCATCTTGGCAACGCCTCCGGGCAGCTATTTCGGACTAACAAGACCAGGCTCCTATCTAAATGAATGGGCAGAGAGTCAGAACTGCACTTTCACTGGTCACCAGGACATAAAAACTGCTTGTATAGAAACAGCAGTAAAATATGATAAAAATCGCTGAAAAAGTTTGAGTTTGCCCCAAAATAAGGTTTAAAAGGTCTTTTTCCCCCACAGGTTAGGGCCTATACGTTTACTACGCAAGGGTTCTCGTCTCCGCTGTCGCAAACCTCAACTGTGCGCATGCGTCAGTGGAACCAGACGATAGGCTTATATGTTTCCCGGCTTGACTGTGTTAAAAGTAGGGATGGGCATTTTTCAAAAATATTGCATTCGAATATTCGGGCTCATAAAAATCGAATATTCGTTTATTTAAATGACGTTTAATGAAAAAGACGTTCTTTTTTAAGTTAAATTTTTTTTTTTCACGTTTTTGTCACCATTTCTGAACAAGCTTACAATTAGGCAATATACACAACAAGCTTACAATATATGTTAAAGTTTTCTTTTAGTTGAAAACATTAAACAGTAAGCCTATGTGTAAACAAAAAATATAAAAAACAAAAGCATTAATAAAAGCATGCTTAAGCAGCGCGAACGGGAAAAAACGCCTAATAAAGCAGATTGCTCCAGATATCGTACAGAACGTACACACACACACACGAGCCAGCATATGATTATCGTGTTTATATTGTTTCACGTTTTTATTGAGAAAAACAATATCCACATGCAGGGGCGCCGCCAGCAATTTATGCTCGAGGGAGAAAAGGCGCTTTGCTGACAGACGCTTCAGAGACACAAAGATAACGGTGTTCTAAGTTTCTAACAGCACTTTGCGTTTTCTCTTCTTAAACCTGTCTCCCTCAACGAAACCTAAAGGAAGTATATGTCTCAAAATCATTTTGCTATAAGATAAGTTATCATTACGGATCACGCGGGGTCCAGCTGCGCTTACCTGCAGTCGTGAATGCAGTGATGGACAGCTATCTTTCCTCATTCGACTGTTTGGATTTCATGTGATTTCTCATTGTGTTGATGATATTATAACTCAGATTAATTAATTAATTCGATCAAAAGTAATTCCATTTAGTAAGATCATTTTCAAGTAATTCCAAACTTCGCGAGGCAGACGACAACATTATGTGATCAAATACACACAACTTGTTAACACACTCCACAGCGCCACCCAGTGCATTTAATTATAACTGCGAGTTAGTGCTTGGGATTTATCATGGATTCACTGCATTTACGGCCAGCAAAGCAATGTAGTAAAATTCGAATAGTATTTTATTTTTCCAATAATAATTACAGATCGAATATTCGTGCACATCCCTAGTTAAAAGCAGACGATTGGCTTTCCAGCGGGAGGGGCGGGGCATGTGCATACAACCGCCATCTTTGGCGTTACGGGTTTTCCCTATATAGTTGTATTGAGGATTGAGGAAGTGGCATGTCTCTATATAAGTTGTCTCTGACACGACTGAGAAAACCCCAGAAAAAAAGTGATGCAATTTGATTGATTTTGTTGTTATTATTATTACACGGTGACTATTAGAGGGTAAATCTGATAGGTCATAATCAAGTTTGGGCTTGTTTACAATGTCAACTGCATTTTCACCAAATTTTGTGTTGATCTCAAAGCGTTCAGAAGTTATGGCTTTTGGAACCATGGTAGCCTTTTTATCAAAAATCCAAAAACCTCTTCAAACAAGTGGTCTGAGTGTTTTACTGAACATAAGAACTACTTGCATGTGTAAACGCCACAAAGCATAGAAATTGTAGTAAATAACAAGCAATAAGATCCTGGTTGATGAGTGATGATCTTCCAGTGTGTTTCAGCTGTGCACTCCTAATCTATGGCGCACAGTAAATGAAGACCTGCCAATCTGAATGATCGGTCCAATCCAAGCGCGTTCAAGCTGTTAAACAGCGTATGACTGGTCTCTACACATCATCCCTACCCACCTTACCTGAGATCCAGTTATATTGGTTGAATTTCCAAATAACGGAATCCCGGAACCCTATAGCTTTAGCCAAGCAGCATGTCATATCACTCAGTGAGTATTTTCATAGGATATCCGTATGTTGTGTGTGGGCTCGTTTGAATCTAGGCAACCTGCTCTAAATAAAGATGTAATGTACAATGGTTAACTAATGTTTAGCGTAGTTACAAAGCAGAACATGGTGTAAAAGCCTCAACTAGTTTATGCTTCTTTGTAATGCAGGTTTTAGTTAAATTGTGTGGTCTCATGGTAGTACAGGAAAGATATCTATTTGTTAGCTTCTATGATAATCTCCTAAAGGCCATCAGAATGAGTTGAGTCGATGGCAAATGGTGCATTTTGTTCAATTTTCTTTTTTATAGAGCTTAATGTCCCATGTGCATTTAGAGATCTTAAAAGCCTTGTGATTAAACAGTTATGACATGCTGTGTAGTTTCCTACCTTTTATAGGGAAGGATATCCCACATTTATCAACGTTCAATCAAAGGATTGAGCCAAGAAACTATGATGAAACAAGTGACCTTAGGTCAGTATTTTTTCCTGCCAATTAATCCACATGTCAGCTTGTGAGAAGGTGACCTTATTGACTTGTTTACTAGAAGAGGTTAAGTTAATTATCTAGTAGTGGCAGACTTTGCACCATACTTTTGTACTTTACCGTTCTCCCGGTTTGGAGTTATTTACAATTTAGGCTTGAAATATTTAGTCAATATGCTTGTCTTATGGTAACATTAAATCTTAGCACACATACACAAATATGCTTAAATTCCTTTTAGAGCTTGTTTATGAGTAGTTTTGAATTTCTGTCTACTCTGGGCCACTTAATGTTGGTGACCTTTCATAATGGTCAAATGAATGAAACCTGTTCTCCTTTCAAAGGGCATATGTTATTTCAGGCTTAAGGCATGTGTGGAGTCCCACTGCTCTGAATGTAATGTGGATTGTGGACATTGTACCCTTTTTACCCCTCCCTGGCTAACTCACTAAAACATTCCTCCCTCATCAGCAATGGACAAAAAGGGAGCAGTACCTTACTCTTGTTTCAAAACCAAACACAATGAAAACATGTGCTACACTGCAGGAGGCAACTACAGGTCTGAGGCTGATCTCAGTGTTCTTTTCATTGATGTGGAGGGTTGTTGTTCAAGCCGCTACGCACGTACTTCCATGTCGTTCAGGGTGTGTATTGTTCCAAGGTGATCAGAAGAATTCTGTTGAAATTCTCCATGGGGGATTAGCACAGTACAACCTTGTTTTTCTCCAGAGTACATGCTTCGAGTCTACAAGAACGACACAATGGTTCAGGGTTCAAAAGAAAGTTGTTTTTAGGTTCATTTCTCATTTACACTGTTCATGTCAATTCCGACAACCCCCTTCAGACACATTGGCCAACCAGAAAAAATATCAGCTAATATATTATCAGCTTTAGCGATATAACGGTCGACCGCAATCATATGACAAGTCTTAAAGGAATAGCCTACTTAGCTCAAATTAAAATCACCCTCATGTCAGTCCAAACCTGTAGGCCTATGACTGTCTTTTCAGGGTTTTTTTTTCCATACATTAAAATTCAGATGGGTCCAATGTTGTTTTGGTCAAAAGCCATTGAAACATTAGTCATGGAGGTTTGGAATGGCATAATGGTGAGTAAATATTGACAGAATTTTCATTGTTGGGTGAACTCTCCCTTTAAGCCCCGTCAGTCATCACCATTACTTCATACCTTTATTCCATGGGAATTTTTCTAATTTCATTTTTCACTGCATTTCTTGATATGCTAAGCTTTGGTTTTATGCATGCTTCAACTCATTGTCTTTTTAAAATGCTTCTAATGTTCTTCATTTGGGTTTTGCTATCATGAAGTGTTGAAGTCTTGCACCATGATGCTCAATCCAATTTGTTTCTTATGTATGCCTTTGTCTTCCATTTCTAACATTTTCTCTCTTTTTCTTTTCTCCTCTGCTGTTTCTTTTCTGCCTGCCTGCCTGCTAATCATTATTCATATCATCTCAATGAACGGTCCACTCTAAATCCAATTCACCCATTCACTCGTCAAATGTCCAGCGGGCTTCATAAAATCACCCTTGTCTCAGATGAAACTCATAGAAGACAGTGCCGAGCTGGATTGTGAGGTCATAGGGAACCCCATCCCTGAAGTTCAGTGGTGGTTCATTGAGGGCGAGGAGCCAGATGAAACAGTAACTCAGCTGTTTGACGGTGCAAGAGAGGATCGTGTACGCGTCAACGCCACCTATATTCACCATGCCACCAGCACGCTCTTCCTTACCAACCTAATGCTCAACGACACGGGCATTTACGAGTGCCGCGCCTCAAACGACCCTGACCGCAACGACCTCAGGACCCCGCCCAAAGTCAAGTGGATTCGCTCACAAGCAAACGTTATAGTATTTGAACGTGAGTTATGTTGTGGAAACGAGGTGTGTCCACTAGTGTAGAGGAGGAAGTCCCGTAGATTCAGACTCTCCCTTACCTTACCCTCCCTTGCCGCCCTCCCATACCAGGTCACATGACTTCTACTCTAGCAGCGTCTGTTCTGTCATAGTAATCTGATGCCATATCAGTGCCTAGAGCTTGTGAGATGAAGTTGAACCTTTTAAAGAAATGGCATTGATCAGTTAACGTTACTAATGGTCAGAAGGTGTAAAACGCACTAATTGCCATGCCTTTCTGAAAAAGGGCTCTCATTATGTCACATTAATGTGGCTTGGTTTTAGTAAACTTCTAAAAGGCTCTTTAGATGTCTGGCTTAACGCTTTAGGTGGTTTTAGAGCACTTTAGCACACTGCATTGCCCACCTAGTGCTTTTCCTCAACAGGTTTTCATAAGCTCATATTCTCCAAACCAGTTGCTGGTTGGTATAATTTTGTTCCCTCTTCCCATCTGTTTTGGCTTGCAAACTGCTCAATGTTTCCCAAGCTCACAGCTAAAATGTACCTTCACTTCTCCTTTGGTAGTGCGCAATCTGCCTTTCGGTGCACATTGTGGTGAACATCTGGTCAGCAATGTTCCGATTTGTTCCGTCATGTCCAAAAATGTAATTTTTTACGGTGCCACAGCGAATCCAGAGGTTGGTGGACGCATTTTAAAGCATAATCAACAGTGAATACTTGGTTTCCTGGATTTCTTTTCCATTATACAGTCAAGATGTTATGAAAGCTGTCGGAAAGTATAGTTGTGTAACTTCTGCTTTTATGCTTTGGCAGATCCAAACATCATAACCAGTCCAACGATGGTGAGCAATCTGACTTCTGCAACTCTCAGCTGCAACATTACCAACCCTCCTTCTCCCATCAAAGGCCACTACTGGACCAAGAATGGCAAGACTATTGAAAAATCAGAGTCCACCAGTGACAGCCCTTACACTGAATACCGGTATGTTCCTCAACCTCGTGTAAATAATTGTGACTAAAGAAGAGCGAAATTTAGAACTTTGCCCTTTTGGTAGTAATCTGCTTTGCACATTTAGTGTTTAACCATCAATCCAGGTCCATTAAATATAGTGCAGCGTCTCTGTTTGCCTCTGTCTTCTCTGTTCTGTTAAGAGCCTCCAGCACACCACACTAGCTGACCTTAATTCCCATTAGAGTTGCTGGGTCGGAAAAATATCCATGGGGATGCCTGAGCAGTGTACTGGAAAAGCTGTTTACTTTATCGTTCATATTTGCTTTACTGTACTGTCCTCCCCTCCACCTTTATTGCTGTGGTGTTGTTATATTGAGTTTATATTTAAACTTTAATTCTGGTTTTGATTTGTGGGTCTCATTGCTTGTTTTTCTCTCTTTCGTAGCATTGAAAAGATTGATTACCACCATTCTGGACTATATGTGTGCGTCTTCCAGTCAGAGCCTCCGGCTAATGAAACCATTGAAATTAAAGGTAAGAGTTTGATCTTGCTGCAGCTGTATTTTTTTGTGTTAGTGTTCATCACCCATAATTATGTTCTTCCTGTTAGCTCCCCCACATGTAGTGGCCTACAAACACTCTGAAAATGCTAATGAGAAGGACAAGGCTGCCCTAGTATGTGTGAGCCATGGATACCCCCCGCCTACTGACTGGAGTTGGTACAAACTTGTTAAGGATGGAAAGGTAAAGCAAGACTTTACTAAACTTTTGTAATAACATGAGATTGGCACCTGTCCATCGATTTGAAGGTTGGTTAAGGTTGCAAAGTTGTTATTTTGGCATTATGCACTTGCTATTGATTTACCTAGCAGTAATGTTTATCTGTTTATGGCATGACAAGACTTCTAGACTAAAAGATCAACTTGAAGCTTGCAAGCTTTTCCACAGATGTTGGATATTATGACATTTACTATTGTTATTATTGTATTTTTACTACATTTAATATTACAATGCTTTAATAATAATAGTAAATATACTTCTAGTTGTTAGTAATATAATTACTACTACTACTACTACTAATAATAATATGAACTATAGTAATAGAATTGTTACAATATTATCCAATTTATTTATGGTGATGATAATGTTACTAATAAAATATGTGGTTGTACGAATAGTTATAATAATAGAATTTTAATATTATATCCAATTTATTAATGATGAAAATAGTCAAATGTTGTTCTAGCTGCGCTTTCTTGCTCTCATTTCTCTGACAGTGTGTTGACACACAAACCCACCTCCCTCACTCATTTCATTTGATCCAGATAAATAATGTTGGTTATCTGTCAGTGTCGGCCAAAGATGAAGTTGACGATGTTGACTCACAATCTTCGCAGTAGTGAACGCGCCAGAGAGAAATGCACATTTCATACGGATTGCATAAGTAGAGAGCAGTCTGTTTTCTTTTTTCTTTCATTTTGAATTGTTCTGTTTAAAAGTAGACATGTCTGTGTGAGGCAAGTAGGCTACCTTATACCTTATAGATGAGCTCCAGTTCACGCTCCAGCACCTCTGTTTCGTGATTATCGATCTTCTGGTATATTTACTTTAGTAAATCCAGGCAATTGGTTGATGAAACATTGATTAAAATTTAGATACAATTAATACAAAACGAAATTCACTTTAAAAAAAAAAAAGGTTTTGTGCTTTCTGTTTGATGTCTCTGTGAAAAGCTTTAATGGTTTCAGAGCAGTCACGTCTGTAACGGAGAACTGTCACGTCCGTAACATTGTTTTTTCCTCATAAATGCAAACACGAAAAATAAAATAAAATGAATATTTTATGTTCTGTGGAGACTACAGTTAGGCTACTCATAATTTGTATTCTGAATAGTTAACAACGGTACATGTATTCCGTTACTCCCCAACACTGATATTAGTAGCCTATATAACCTTATCTGCAAGATATTTTAATAGCACGGTTTTGGCGGTTATAGAGTTCTAATGACGGTGTTCAACTATAACCGTCGGTCTCACGGTTATATAATAACCATCACACCCCTAGTTACAGGGCTTGAATTTCACCATAGGATTGCGTGTTTTGCACATTATTTTACTCATTCCCGCAGATTTTGTGCTCACACCCAAAATGTATGCGCACAAAGCCACCTCTCAGTACTAAATTGAGTTCTTTTTTGCTGCTTATTGCATTTAAACAGTCAAATACACTGTCTTGGTGAGTATTCACGTAAACAGTTTAGTGCTGCCACTAACGACTAATTTTCTAACGACTAATCTTTCGACTAATCTAAATGACTAATTAAAAAAAAAAACATTGTTTGTCATTTCGTTGTCCATTTTATTTTGAACTCAACTGAAGGGCCAAAATATGAAATGTCACCTGTTGAAAAACATTATGTATTAGCAATCTAAGCATAAGTATCTGCATTTCCATTAGGCTATACCATATTAGCCAGAGTCCTAATCTAATCCTCTATTAACAAACATGCTTAAGTATTCATTACTTAAATTAGCTCTTTGTTCTGCCTTAAATTAATACATTAGCTTACTGTACATTTTGATATGTACATTTCTGAAATGCATTTCTGAAGTGTTCGGTAGAATTAAGTTGAGTGTGAAACCAGACCAACGTTGCGGGGGCGGCGGGAACAATCGCGCTCGGCCCGTAGCAAAAAATTGCCGTCGACTAATTTGCATGGTCGATTACATTGACTAATCGCGGCTGCACTAAAACAGTTGTGTTTTAAGTGAACATAAACGGTTAAGAAAACGCACGTGCAACATTATAATGGATCTGTGCGTCAGGTCTTAAAGTGACTGACAGCAGCCTAATACACCTGCTGCCAAATTATGAGATATCAAAAATATCTATATGGAAGGTTTTTCTCCACGGTATTGTCAATTTTGGCTAGTAACTTTGGAAAACCACCAGCCACAGTGGCTGGCGAGCAAAAAAGTTAATGTCAAGCCCTGATCATTATTATTATTATTAATAGTAGTAGTAGTAGTAGTAGTATTATAGTAGTTGTATTAATCGAATTGTCACAAATAATATTCAACCCAAGTTAAATAAAATAATTGTAACATAATTTATTACACAGCTCTGTGGAATACTTGATTCTGATTGGTCAATCGTGCCGTTATTCTCTGGTAACAACCGTTAAACACTGTTAACTCAGACTCATCCAGGTAACTCACTGGAGTCAATGCTTTACTCTTGCTAGAAACGTTTTTTCCTCGTGGAAGTTTGGTGAGCTAATAAAATATTAAAACTCAAATCAATATTTTGTGTTTGTTGTTTGTCATCCGGTATTGCAGACTCGCTCTCTTGTTTCATACAAAATGCGACTGCTGCCATTTTGCAACGATTGTTTTGTACACTGTAATGGATTATAAGATAACAAACGGGTACGATTTCAAAACGGTATTTCTTATCCCCATAGTTATTTAATGTGGTAAATACCATGTAATAAGTGGTATGATTGTACCATATTCCTTAAATGTCTGTCTGGTTTGAACTTGCCAATTGACCTTTCGGCGGCCCCCCCCCCCAAAACGGCCATTGTCCAATCACACATCATAGCAACCGTTACTATGTGAGCAGGTCCGTCAAACATTGACTCCAAGCAAGATGGTGAAGCGGTGCGCCCACGGCGCTTGTAAATCGGACACTAGTTACCCCGAGAGATTGTCTGGAGGAGTTGTGTTTCCGTTTCCAAAGCCGAAAAGACAACGTGAGCGGTGCCTACAATGGATAAAACAGTGTGGACGGCCCCACTCCCAGTTAAATGTCGAACATGGTTAACTCGCATGCAGCGTGCGTGAGACTGACACTGAGATTAGTCAAAGAAACATGGAGAAAGCAGATCAAGAGGATCCACAAAGGAATTACGTTTTCTAAAGGGTTGTTGTTAACATGATATTCTCGGCGGGAAATGAGCAGCAGTCAACTAGCAGTGCAGCACCCGTAGGCTACAGTTTAGAGGAGTGCATGCTCGCAACGGGGAAAGCATGAAGCTTACTTGACAACATCAGTTCATATATCAATATCATAACTAATAGATAACTTTAAATAATGTATGGTTATCTGCATCTTTCCGTCTCTTATGTATAGTCACTTTTTAAACACGAAAATCGCATTCAGCATGACACGCAAGAGGTTGCCGTGGTAATGAACAACCTGCTTGTTAAAGCGCATGTATAATCCTCTGAGGCAAAATTACTACTCGATAGTAGTCGTGTCTCCATTGCGTATTTTTATATTTTGAATATATCCCTCCCCTGCATACTGTAACCCCTTTTGCCTCGATCTGGAGGATATCGCTGAGGTATTGCTCCAAAAAAGGTCACTGACACGCATGGGTATACCTCTTCCCGTCATGGGAATCTGTCGCGTTGGTCGTGTTTGACCATTTGTTTGACGGGCGTAGTAACAATAACTAGGGGGCGTGGCTTTTGCAAACGGTCAATTGTTAGCATCTGCTTTCGGAAGCTTTTAGGGCTGGGACAATACATTGATGCATCAAGCGATTCTGGATCGATTTTGAGATTTTCTGTATGCATCGCGATTCTCCCTCCACTCGATTCTGAGCTTAGTTTTTAACTTAGTTTAAGGGATTTTTTTTTTAACCAAATCCTGCAGCCTTAATAACATGACAGTTTTGTCTTCAACACACAGGAAGCCATTTTCAATGGCTCTGACAAGTATGAGATAAAGAATACCCCCAACAAGACCACACTGTACGTACAAGATCTGAACATTGAAGAGGACATGGGCACCTATGAGTGCCTCGGCATCAGTGATGCGGGAAAAGCCCAGGATCAGATTCAGCTGCGTGTGCGCAGCCAGCTTGCCGCCCTGTGGCCATTCCTCGGCATTGTCGCTGAGGTCATCATCCTCGTCACCATCATCTTCATCTACGAGAAGAAGAGAAAGCCTGACGAGATCACTGACGGTATGTGGCGGAACCGTTTAAGTCATAATTGTTTCACTTTCCATTTTCGTGAATGTACAAATGATCAGTGGATGTAATTTTACATTTTTGTTTATGAATTCGTAATGGTGCAAGATCTATTTCAGTTTGATTTTGTATGTTTATTTTATTTGGCTGTAGTGTGTGGCTGTGCCTTAGCTGAGTCTATTTTTATGATTTACGTTGTTTATTTCTCTGTTCGCTGCTGCTTTTACGTTGTGGTAAGTGCTCAACTGCATGTCAGACTGAAGTGGATTTGCTTAAACGAGTGGTTTTGGGAGTTTGAATGCTCTCGCTGATAGCCTGAAAAGTACAACTCTTTCACTGGCAGTTTGTCTTGCATAAGATGATAAAATGGACCAGATTCCTCATACTTAGTTTTAAGAAAAGCAACTTTATTGGTTCTCCCTTAGCCAGTGAAAGCGTTTAGCTGAGTCTGACATATTGCAGTTCAGAATGGGTTTTAAATGCCAAGGTATTATGCATAATAACATAATGACATTTCAGACGGATCATGTTATATTGCCTTGCATGCTCTCTGCATCATCTTCTCATTGCATGATATTCTTCAGCCCTACATTCTAGCAGTGACTTCCTCTGCGTCTCATTTGTTTCTGAGAGGCAACAAGGGTGGCAAAATATATAATCCCAACTTTATTACTTTGACCGTTTTTGTCGTTCTGAGTGTTTTCTGCATGAGAACCTGGGAAAATACCTCTTTTTTACACTCTGATTCTGTTTTAAAATAATATGTTTGTTGGGTGTCAACTCGCATCTTATTTAAAGTTACTTTTTTGACTGTCTAACTGTCTGAAGCACAACCTTGCCAGTAGCTGTAATATTTTGCTAAATAGTCACGTGACTTCAAACCCCCTAAAAATACATTTATAATTTTATTTTACTTATTATTGTTATATATTTAATCAATTCCATTTACTTTATTTAATGTATTATCTGTTTTAAACAACTTTTTATAGTGACTTTAAATACCCACAAACTGCATATATTATAATATTTTACATTATTATTATTAATCAATTATACTATTATCAATAATATTATATTGTTGTATTTAATGTTTTTAAAAATCATTTTAATGACCTTAAACACCCTTAAAATGCTTACTTATATATAAATTATATTTATGTATACAAGTGTTGTGTATATGATGTATACTATTTACAATATTATTGAATTTTATCTTTATAAAACAGTTATAGTGATTTAATCCATGCAGTTTGAAGTAAAAAAAAAAGCTAAAATACAATAATATAGTATATATTGTATACATTTATAAAATGTATTTAAAAATAAAAAATCCCCACAAATATATAAATAAACAAACTAATACAAATGTATAATATATGTACATTTGACATACAATTTAATTTAGAATGGTTTTATTTATTGTATGCCATTTGTTGAAGAGAATTTTATGCGGTACATGAAGTGTCTGATAGTCAAGTTTCGCACTAATTATAATTCTTTTCATTTCCATACAGCCGTTGTCATGTCCACAGATTTCATGTGTGTCAGAGGCAGGGCATTTTTCAGTGGTGGTTTTTCAATATGAAGGTTTCTGGTCGATACACTGACTTTAGAAGTCCAGTGCAGGAGTTTACAAATGTGATATAATGCTGTTTGAGAGCCTTCATCATGATTGATGCAGAAAAAGAACCATGTTTTTCTCAACATTACATGTGTAGGACGTGAGGTTGTGCTACAAACAAATGATACTTGATTGGAAACGTTTGTTCTTGGGTTGAAAACCACTAAACGTATCCTTTCAATCCAACATCAGACTGCATGGTTAATGTAAATGCATTATTCTGCATGAATCATTATTAGTAGTGCTGTAAAGAGTCATAGCTGTTTAGATGACGTGTACAGATTTTGCAGTAGAAATAACCAAATTAAGAATATAAACGAGGTTTACCAGTCCCGAATCACATTACTCATTAGACTCTGCTTTTAAAGTTAAGGTTCGCACCGTTTTGAGGCTGCCAAACTAGAGCTTAGACTCTACTCTACTGCAACTGTACTAGTAGACTATAGTCTTTTACACGCGTCATCTTGTGAAAGGGAGTGTTTAACGCTTTTCTTTTTCTTTCCATGTCGTCCTGCTTCCGGTAGATGACGACTCAGGAGCTGCACCACTGTAAGTGTTTTGTAATATTTGTGATGAGATATTGAAGTGCAGATATCTGTGCAGTTCAGTCGAAGGAACTTTAAGGCCATGTTGAAGTCTAGACTAGCCCCTCGATGTGCTTCTAGCTCAGGACATTCATATGGGATCTGACGTACCGCCGTGTTTTACAGGAAGAGCAACGCAGCTACTAACCACAAAGACAAAAACGTCCGGCAAAGAAACTCCAACTGAGAGGAGGAGAAAAGGTATTACTCTTCAAAAGTTTATTTAGAAATTCAATAAATGTATACATTTAATCCTAATCAAATTTAAACTATATAATAAAATGATTTTTAATGTGTACGTTTTTTTTATTATATTATGGACGTGTTCATAAATTCATTATAAAATATAAACTGTAATATTTATTTTTATTTTCTGTATTAAATTATTTTATGCATTTAATACAGAAATTATATATTTTTTTAATTAATTGTATTAGTTTATACATGTAATATAATATGTATATTCATAAATGTAATATAAACTAATTGAACAATTTATTTTCTGTATTTTAAATATTTGTTTTATTATATTTTAAAATTATTATTGTCTATACATATTTAAAAACAAATCTGAAGTAATTTTTATGGTTTTTTTATTACATTTATGAAACACATCTGTAATGGATTATAAAGTATAAAAAAAGTATAATAAACAGAGCAATTCCAAGAGAGACCTCACACCATCGGTCCTCTGGCCCTAAATATATAATTATGGTTTATGCACATTAACATAATTTTTAATTATTATTTTATTTAATATACATCTTTTTTTATATATATATTAGTTTTTTGTTTGTTTTTAGATATGAAGTATAATCAGGTTTTGTTGCTGAGTTTTCTTTTGTTTGTTTCAGGTGTCTTGATGACTACTGCTGAAGACATGCAGAGTATTTTCGTTTGAGTAGCACATTATAGTGCACCCTGCGGTTCCTTAACCTTCTGCTTGAGTGTAAATGTCTTGAGATATAAATTGGTCTCCTTTTACTTTTTTGGTATCTGTAATGTGCTGCCAGCAGATGTTTTTAAAGTGGTTCTGTGGGGGAAGGGGGGAAATTGCATGATTGTATCCGTGCTGTAGAAGTGTGTTTAGTGAAAATCTCTTAATGTGGGAATTAACTTTTTTTTTTTTGGCTTTCACTGTTCTCCACGAGTGTACGCACCATGACTTTCTGAAACATCTACCAAGTGTGAGATCTGATCCCTGTTTAGCAGCATGATTATTTGATGATGTTCAGTGTGTACTGAAACAACCATTTTCTGTGGTAGCAGTCAAAAGACTTTTTGGCAGTCATTTCCCTTCCTGCAAGCCTTAATGTTCAACCACTTTATTGTACATGCTGTTTTTAATTATTAAAATAATTTAAATTAACAACTTTTATGTGCAGCACTCTTGTTGTTGCTGCATATTAAAGTGCACTGTTCCATGTGGATGGTCAAATGACACTTTCTGTCTGGCTAACAATTTTCCGTTTAATGTCTAACAAGCTTATTTTCAAGTTGCTTGGATGGTTTCCAATGTTGAATTTTAGGGTTCCTCCTGCCATTTAAACCCATAAGGACCAAGTGCTAGTGGAGCGTTCCTCAGATAATCAGTTATAAATTGTTTCCCAAATTCGAACATGGAGGACAATGACATGGTTTTATATTTCTAGGTTAAGTCAGTGAAGTTGGGATTTTAGTCAAGGCTTGTTTTGTTGCTTAAATGATACTTTCCTATAGACGGTCATACTTGCATTGTAATACATTGTGAAGTATAGTGTCTGGATGTGTGCCATTTCCAAGTTAAGAGATGCGTCAAATTTAAGACCTTGATGGAAGTGTATAAATTATTTTGCCTTAGCTTCGTAGGAAATACACTGTCTAATGTTCTGACTCGCACAATCTGAATAAAGATTTGATTTTAACTTTGTCTTTTGAATATTGCTTTGTTTATGTGAAGTGATTTACTGTAAAAATCATAAGAGGCGCAGCAGTACTGAAGAATCAGCGTGTTCTTTGAGCCGCCAGAAGGGGGCGTCGTTTACTCATTTATGCGCTTCAGTTGTAGGGAGCGGCTCTACGTGACACAGCTCACATCATTGTTATATTGGAGACAAGAAGCCTTCATTTAAACCTTCATGTGCTTAAACAATAGTCACCCATATTATTACTACTATTCATAGTAATGAAGTCAATGTAAATATTCCCAAACTATCGCTAAAGCTTTGGAGAGCAATGTATTTTGGTCGTCCAGATCTAAAGCATCGCTGGCTCTGATGAACACTTTTTTTTTTTTCAATTAAAGGTGCCTTTTGTCAAATGTGATGTCTAGGTGGTATTACAAAAACGTCTCAATAATTAACACATTATATTTCAAAAAGTAGTTTCTTACTGTTTCATTAAAAAGCAGTGGAGCTATTTAGAGAATATCATTCGAAATAGCCTACTTGGAAAAAAACCATTTGACAAAGTGATGACAAATTAAAAAGGGCACAGAAAACATTTTGACGACACTTTTTGTTCAGGTCAAATGGAACCTATAAGACCCCTGATATTATTCATGATTCAAAATAATATTTTACTTGGTCACAAACCTGACAGTTTAATCAAATTATATATAAGAATATGGTATTGCTTTTCAAATATAGGCTACATGAAACCAAGACAATTTCAGGCATCCTCTTTTTTTTTCTTAGAAATGTGTAAATGGATAATGCATCCCCACCATAGGCTACTACATGCTACTAACCTACATTTGTATATTTAACACAAAGAAACGCACAATTAAGCGCGTCTCTGCCCATTTCCCACTAATTTCTCCTTGACATAGTTTCATTGATGCCTGAGAACACAGAGCTTGCGATGCGTTTCCAGGTAAGGGAGTGAACGCGTGCAGCCATAGCAACGCTCCTGGTGTAGTTGTGTGTGGTGACACTGGGACGCGGAGTAAAGCCACTAACTGCCCACGTCTGCGCTTTCGAAATCTGGCGGCGTCAGGGTTCATCTCAAAGCAACCCCGTCATGGACGAAGCGGAGGACGGAGATGAAGACCACAAAGAGATCCTTGACCCTTCCTTCAGGATGATGAAGAGTGTGGCACCAGGAGGGGGAGCAACGAGCAGGATCTCCAACAACAAGGACTTCGCCTCGGTCTCATGTGGACGCAGCACGGAATCCACCGCGCTCCTCAGTCACGGAAATGTTTCCAGGAGCGGGTTTGACGACGAGGATGGCACCGGAATGAGATGCGTTATCAACGGAGACTGCCGAAGACACGACAGCTTGTCCTCAGTCCTCTCCAAGCAGGAGAAGCAGACAGGTGGAGGCTTCCCAGCATCTGCATGTCACTCCAGCACCTCCAGCATGGACGGCTCGGTCACTCCTGCCCCGACCGCCGACAAGAAGGACTCCAGGGTTTCCTTCTCCAACGCCCCCCCTGCCCACGGACCGAGCCCGAACCAGCCGGACCATTCTGTGGGCTTCCCCAAGTCTGAGGATGGCCAGATCTCGGCAGATGATGGGGAAACCAGGGACAATCAAACTTACATGCAGAGGCAGTTTAGCGCCATGCTACAGCCCGGGGTCAACAAATTCTCCCTGCGTATGTTTGGGAGCCAAAAGGCTGTGGAGAAGGAGCAGGAACGAGTCAAATCCGCTGGCAACTGGATTATTCATCCATACAGTGATTTCAGGTAGGGGCGATGGAGTAACACCTATGGAGACTCAATACCTGGTTGCAAATTCACATGAATTCTGTAAAATGGCTGGCTTTTCTGGTATAAAAAGGTGCGTTTCTGTAAAATATTAAACATTTTGTTTGACAAAAAAAAAAAAGACAAAAAAAAAAGAAAGAAAGTACATTGTGCCATTATACCACTTCAAGGTAAACATGTATATAAAATCGAAATTAATGCACATTTTTGTATCATTTTTTTTTTTTACATCCCACGTTGTCCCACCCCAAGAGTTACACTGAACAAAATCATGGTAACAGGGTTGACTATTTAAGGTCGTCCTCTTCTGACAAATAACACTTTAAAATGCAGTGAAAGTAAAAAAAGAAAAAAGTAACAGAGTTGAACTTTTAAAGTTCAATTAGCTATTTGTGGTCTAGGTCATAACACTACAAGAAAGAGATTATAACCTTGATATTTATTTACTCATTTATTTGTTCGTTCATTCATTCACAAATTCAGATTCACATCAGCTGTTAATTGTACAGTCAGTGACAGCGGTGGTTCTCTACTAACAAATTTAACATTTTAAGGTGGCACTTATGTTTATACATTATTAATAATTAAGGTGGCACTTATGTGTATACTCCTTGTTGGTTACTAACATCATCTTAAAATGTTACATTTGTTAGTAGAGGACATATTTACATAGTCAACCCTGTTACGGTGACTTTGCACAGTGAACAGCGGCTGATGTGATTCTGAACACTAAATATTTGTGAATGAATAAATATCAGCATTAATTTCTCTTTCCTGTAGTGTTATGATCTAGACCGCGATGGCTAATTGAACTTAAAAATGTCAACTCTGTTACCTTTTTCCTGAAAGTAACAGAGTTGACATTTTAATGTTTGTTTAGCCATTCTGCTCAGGTCATAACACTACAAGGTGTGCTGATATTTATTCACAAATATTTAGAGTTCAGTATCACACCTGTTCACTGGTCACAATAACAGGGTTGACTATCGGACTAGGACTAAGACCATCCACAGTTTAGGATGACATTATTAACAAACAAGGTTGCAAAGATATTGTGATGTCAATATGACAGGTTTCAAACAATTAATTTAAATGAACATTTTATTAAGTTTAATCTTTATTAAACTAATTTAATTATTTAATTCTGCGTCAACTCTGTTACCATCATACCACCAGTATCAGCTTTGAGGGACACAAAATGCACCCTTTTCCGGGAACATCCCATAGGCTTGTAATATCAAACATGCACTTTTTTATAATTAGTAATAAGGATCGGGAACTCACATTCACTTGATATTTTAGCAAACTCAAATCATTAATCAACTAAATGAATCATTGATGGCCAACTTGCACCAGCTGTTATGTTTCATGTCATCAGGTGTGTATAATTGACCAGAAAATTTATGGAAATCCTTTTGCGTAAAAGCCGGATAAACTGCAAAGGGAAATGTAGTCAGGACACTTACTTCTAAGTTCAGAAATGATCCCGTCAGCCTCTCAGGGTAAAGTCTGCAATGAAACGCAATCAAAAAAGTGGGAATATAACTGTCTTGTGGAGCCTTACCACTGATTTTTAGCTGCGAGTGCAATGCCACACAAAGTGCAAACAAGCTTTCTTTAGCATCTGAATAGTTCAAAATAAAATTGCTCAAAACTGACACTGGATCAGATCAGAACTGATCTTGTTTATTACTATAGCTCAACAATATAGTCAACGGTTTGTTTGTTTCACCCAGCAAGCACTTTTAATGATAGTGTCCTCTTAATTATGTCCCAGGACAGGGAGGCAAGAAGGCTTTCCTCAAATACAGTGACAAACAGGTTGATTTTATATCAAGTTACCTCCAAAAAGGCTGTTCTGCAGGATCGCTACCTCAGTTTAGGCAGTATGCACTTTTGATTGAGACAGACCAATAATCAGTTTGACCAATATTTTTCATAATCATTTGGAGACCCAGCAAATTATTAACACTCAACAATGTTAGTACACCACTGTGCATTCAACTGGAGATGACTCATTTTGTGTATGAGAAACACAAAGCAGAAATAAAAGATTTTACAGAATATCTAACTTGTAGCCATACAAATAATATAAACATCTAAAAACAATACAATAACAATAATGAATAGATAAATAAATATACCATTCTCAGATTTCCAATATTTTAATATTAGATATAACAAATAAAAATATGAAATTATCTTTCATAAAAGTATCAGGCATACAAATAATAAAAAAAAAAGAATCATTAAAACACAACACAACAAAATAATAATAATTATAATATAAATAAAATAAACCATTCTCTATTTTCAGATACCCAGCTCAGTGTATCAAATGCAATATTTTATAATAAAAAATATATATATATTGGTCATAAAAAAGAATAAAAAAAAAGAATAAAATAATAAAAAAACTAATTTATTCTCTCTTTTCAGATACCCAGTTCAAAAATATAAACAATAACAAATAACATATACACACACATATATATATATATATATATATATATATATATATATACACACACACATATATATGTATATATATATATATATATATATATATATATATATATATATATATATATATATATATATATATATATATATATATATATATGAAAATAATTTATATTAAAAAAATATATAATTAATCAAAATAATAATACAAATCCATTCAGTACAATATTTTAATGGAATATTTTAGACGTATAATAAAGGCTAGAGTCCTTATTTCCCCAACATCAGCATCATTACACATTCTTTTACGCTCTCTGCTCATTGTGCCAATGACTGTTCATGCACATTTTTTTTTCCTGTGCATGCATGGAAAAAAACAAACAAAAGAAAATATATAATGGATTTGTTCAAGCTCTTCGTATTTATTCATAATCACAGGTTGCAGTGCAGGCCGGTGACCTATTATTATTTGCACAGAGAAGACAAACGGAGCACTGCATTTAAATGAGCTTTATGTGATGAGCACATATTATTAGAGCACAGCTGCATAGTTTTACTTGAGAAAGCTCAGTTATGATCCCTTCTGAAGTTTTGCTTTCAATACCACAGACATATCTGCAGTCAATTCGCCATATATAATAAAAAAAATCATTGATGCACCTTAAGAGAAGCTACTTATCTCTTAATTTCACACTTAAATTTCACAAATCTGTAAGCCAAACCATTCTGTCTGTATCTCGTTCTCAGCGTCCTTGTGATGACCTTGCATAGGTTGACTTATTTATTGGTACAATATCTCACCATATTGATTTCATCCAACAGGCACTATATCACACAAAAGCTGTTTTATTACGCCTACATCGCCTCTCTCCTTTCGTGTGCGTGCAGCGTGTTTGTCAAGGCTGGGGTTATTTATAGGGTGTATCCCCGTCTCACCGAACGCACGAGGACTGAATTTCATTTCCTTATTATAAGGGTGTGCCTCTTATGCCAAATACATGAAAAATGCCACATTAGATTGACATACGCCAAACCAAAAATCAAAACAGTTCCCAAAAAACAGCCTCATATTAACATAAGGTGTCCATGTACCAAGCTAAATAATGAATTCATGCACACAAGTCTACCTCGAAAACTATAATTTACCAATGAAAATATTCAGACATTTTGTTTCAGACACTGAATATCAATAAAATAAAAATTCTGTGGCATTTTTTGCACATGCATTTAAGCGTATGACCTGTAAATAATTGTATTAACTGAATTCATGTGCCTGTTCCTTCATTCTCCACATAGGTTCTACTGGGATTTCACAATGCTAATGTTTATGGTGGGCAACTTGATTATCATTCCTGTGGGCATCACCTTCTTCAAGGAGGAGACCACCACCCCTTGGATTATCTTCAACGTAGTGTCCGACACGTTCTTCCTCATGGACCTGGTGCTGAACTTCCGTACAGGCATCGTCTACGAAGAGAACACAGAGATAATACTGGACCCAGAAAAGATCAAGATGAAGTACCTGAAGACGTGGTTCGTGGTGGACTTCGTTTCATCCATCCCGGTGGATTATATCTTTCTCATCGTAGAGAAAGGCATCGACTCTGAGGTTTACAAGACTGCCAGGGCATTGCGGATTGTGCGCTTCACCAAGATTCTCAGTTTACTGCGACTGCTTAGACTGTCCAGACTGATTCGTTACATCCATCAATGGGAAGAGGTAAGATGGGCTTCATTGTTGAAGTCAAACACGATCTTTCGATTTGTGACAATGTGAAGAAATTGAAATGAAAGGAGCATTGAGTAATTTTGTCCTCATTTAAAATTGGTTTTATTCTACGTTGAATAGGTCATCGGTCATCTCATGGTGGCTGCCATTTGAGATAAAAAAAAAAAAAATGAATCATGGCTGATAGCTTCGGTAGCCTAACTCAAAAATAATTGCTTCTGCTGGATATACACAATGGCTGCGTCCGAAAGCGCATACTCTCTTCTTTTGAATACGAAATTACTTCACGACCATAGACTGTAAGAAAGATGGACGACACACCTTCGCTCTGTTCCATTGTAGAAAAGTGAAGCGGCAAATGTCCCAATGTGGCGCTGATTTGGGACCTGATTCTGAAACGGTTAGTACGGTTTACTGCAGAACAACTCATTATATCGGTGTGAAATAAACAGTTATGGAAATATAGAAATGAAAGTTGAAGCTACAATCGCCGCCTGGAAATCCTCCAAAAAGTCAGTTGGTGCCTCGGTGACTACTTCGCTCAGAGAAGCTGTCAATCATGACGTCACACTCCCGTTTTTATAGCATCAAATAACTAACTAAGACCAAACTTATTATAAAAAAATGAACACTTAAACTTACATCAGCATGATAAAACTACCTAAAATGACGGAAAAAAATTAATTTGATGTGTAATTGGATTGTTTAGTTTGCCTCATGTCCCATTAGATTACATGGAGAGGGCGGGGTTTATGACCTATGCTGGGACCAGCCACCTGGGGGCGATCGATACGCTTTGGCTTCATTTTTCAGGACTTGTGCGGCACGCTACCATTAAAAACGCTATATATGCGTACTTCTGAATTTCACTGTAGGTCATCTGGGTACGTTTGGGCTACTGTTTGCCCATACTACTCTTTTCACATACGTTTTTTCAGCCCATTCTCATCCCAAGGCGTCATCTAACTGACGCTTTTGACCATGCGTCAACATGCCGACGCACATGGTACTCCTTAAGCGTCAATATGAGACGCGCCTCCTAGTGGTCTAACCCTAACCCTACCTCAGACCTAAACCTACCCATAACGGAAGCGTCATCTAACTGATGCTAAAGGGTGCCATGTGCGTCGGATTTAGACGCATGGTCAAAAGCGTCAGTTAGATGACGCCCGAGGATGAGCCAGAGGATATTGACGCTTAAGGGGTACCATGTGCGTCGGCATGTTGACGCATGGTCAAAAGTGTCACTTGGGATGAGAATTTGTTGGTTTTTTCGCCTACTATATAGTAGGGAAGTATGCATATTTGGATGCAGCTTCTGGCATTGGCAGTCTGACAAAATAAGACAAGAAACATGTTGAAAACATGACTGATATTCTGTAGAGCGTTCTTGCGTTCTTTTCCAGTAAATGCATAAACTAAAATGCATATCTTGACGGAAATGTAGGTCACTTTGGATAAAAGTGGTATGAATGTAAACTTCTGGTTCATTCGTCACACTGAAGATAGAAGATCGAGCACATTGCATTGTGGGATACAGTCTTTCGTATGCTATTCCGAACATAGCAAAATGTTTATTTACCTGGTGATGTCACTTCTTTTGTTTGTAATTGCGAGAAGCAGAATGTATTCAATGGAGCTTTTCACTGATTTCCAATGCTGTCTTGTAGGTGTTTGTCGTGGGTGACTAATTAGGTTCACAGGCTAATTAACGTAGCCTGGGGTAATTAGCCATCATAAACATTGATAACAGCAACTGACTGACCACAATAGTAAAAAACAGTTCAGTGCATTAACATTAAAACAATGACCAACATTTCAAAACACCACCTTTTGTGAACATTTCAGATGATTATATAGAGAGCCAGCTGGGTGACAGCAATGTGACGATTTGTCTGGGGTTGAGCTGACGGATGATTCAGTTATATGCGTTCTTTTCACCACCAAATGGGACAATTATGCTCCTGATTACATAGTGGTAATGTGAGCTAAGCATGGCCCTCAATTACTGAATCAACCTTGCACAGCAGTGCCACATTCACTCCACACTGTTTAGCCCCCGTATAGCTCTTGATTTCTCAGGCAGGGACAAAGCACGAGTAAGACAACCTAAAAGATATTACCAAGTTGTGAAACCCATTTGTCTTACACCACTTTTCCTTAACCTTGATTACGTGAAGGTAATGTAAATGCCTTAAAACTGTGGTCTTTTATCGGGGAAAGGTCATAAAACGCTAGCATAACCCCCAACTGCACACTTAGATTGTTGCCCATTACCTTGATTTTGTACTGCATGTAAACTGCTGCCCCCCTTGGACGTTTGTAAAGCCTGATCAAAAAGCATGTTGTGTTTTTGGCCATAACAAGAAAAACAGTAACACTTTAGAACAATTCTCATTTTTAACTGAATTTTCTGTTTATTAGTACTTATAAAGCACATTTTAATGCCTTATTCTGCACGACCATATTCTTCATCTCTTAATCCTACCCCAAACTTAACAACTACCTTACTAACTATTAATAAGCAATAAATTAGGAGTTTATTGAGGCAAAAGTCACAAAAGTTAATAGTGAATATGTGTTCCCCATACTAAAGTGAGGTTGCCTTTTTTACACCCGGCTGGGGGACTACCGATGAAAATTAGCACTTCTGAGCTAACTCGGGTACATTTACATTGTTTCAATGTTGATTAATGTACACGGTCCCCTTTCTAATAAAGAGAAGAAAAAATGAAAGTGTTTCCAGAAAAACTAACAAGAAAAGTCTTTCATTAGCCAAAGTAGCATGTCATAATATAGCCATATTTTATGCTAGCTAATAAAAAGGCTTTGCTTGTCAGCCTTCTGCTAACAAGATTACAAAGAGTATAGGTTAGCAATGGTGAACATTGTGTTAAGCTATCAGGCCAGTTGTTATCTTGCTAAAAAAACACAAAACATGTTTTTGACCATTAATAATTTTGTGAAAAAACGAATTCTAAGCTACCAGGCTAATAGTTAGCTTGCAAAAGGCAGGGTAATTAAAAACAAAGAAAGATAAATGTTTTGTTTACAAGATTACGTTGTGTATGTTAGGTTAGCATGCTAATAAATGAATGCTAAGCTGTCAGGCCAGTTGTAATGTTGCTAAAAACACAAAGAAACTAAAAAGCACAATTAAAGGGAAATGTTTAGTTGATTAGCTTATATTAACCATTTATAATTTAGTATAAAAACTATAAATGGTAAGCTATCAGGCTAAGCATTAGCTTTCTAAATCTGTAAAAACACCAAGAAATCAAAACGTTTATAGTGCTGACACACCAAGCCAAAGAGCGGCTGTTGGCCTACGCTGGGCAGTTGTTGAGCGTCAGCCGGTAGTTTTTGCGGTGGGGTATATTTGACCAGTTGAGCATATTGACTTGGCGCCCGTCGGTGAGAGAGAGAATTCTGATTGGCTGTTGTTCAGCTTAGTGAACGAGTTTTCACTAGAATCAAAGCAAAAGTGATAAAAGCCAGCAAAGTCGTCAAGATGGTACAGACAGAAGGCTATTCTAATTTTACGGCATCTTACCTGAGCATTCCAATGCGTAAATATTTTCATAACTTTGCAGTCAACTTTCATTGCCGGCCTTTAGAATGACCATTTTTTGGTTGTATAAACACATGAATAAAAAAAAACTAAAAGAAGATGAAGTTCAGTCAGCCGAAGCGTTTGCTTTAATGGGTATAAATTAAATTAAATTGGAGATTAAAACTATCACATAGTTTGTAAAATTTGCTTACAAAATTGTTTCGAACCAACAACCACACCATGGTATACATACTGAAAAACTATTAAAAAAACATGCCTGGTGATTATATTGTACATACACAAGCCAGCGTTTTAACGAGGACATTAGTCAGCTGATGTTTGACAACACCCTTACACTTACAGTAGGTTATTATGCATGCTAGACGAAAAAGGATACTTGATATGGATCATTAATTTAACCAAATTTAAATCGCAGTGTAATGAGACCTATAAGTGCTTCCACATTGAGATCAGTGACCCTGATCAAAGAGGCTTTCAAGAACTGCACGGCGACAATGATATGCTAAATAAACAGCCATAACTCCCAACCATAGCCCCAAGCATGATGCTTCTCTTCAAATATTAGTCTCCAGTCAGTTTTATGTTTTGCATTGTCTCGGTTTTAAGATGCTGCTGCTTCTTAAGCTAGAAAAAACAACCCATGCCGACTAAGAACTTTACAACATGAGCCAGGTTAGTGTCTCTGCCTTGTCTTCTTTTATCGCTGTTTTGGCTCAGTTGCTATTTGGGGCACTTGGCTTTTCTCAGGTGTGACAAGCCTTGTTTCTGGTATGGGAAGAGAGTGTTGACACTGTCTCGCACAACCACACAAGGAATTATCCTGGGCTGGCTCCAGATCGCTTTCCAATAGCTGTCCTCTTCACTTTGTAACCACAAACAAACTGCACACACAGCTGTCTCCAAGAGACACATTCTCCACTCTTCCTTAGTCTTGCCGGGAAGAACTCGGTATCAGTTTGGCACATTACTTTCATCATTCACAGACATGTTCGTATCATTCTGACCTCACAGTCACCGATATTGAATCTAATCTGACGGGATGAAGTTTGTAGAATGTACTGTACTCATTACATAAAGCTTTGACAAACCTGATCTCAATACAATATGTTCACAAATCTAGAGGTCACAAATAATCTACAAGTCAAATGGGGTTTTGAAACAGTAGCTTGTTTAGACAATCCCTCCGAAAATGAAGGATTTTGTTTCAGAGTCGTGATCATTTAATATCTTCTGGTTTGTCCTAGAGAGTCCTTCCCTTCTGCTACTCAAATGTAATGAGCTCTTATCTTGACTGACAGATCTTTCACATGACCTATGACCTGGCCAGTGCAGTGATGCGCATTATCAATCTGATTGGGATGATGCTGCTGCTGTGCCACTGGGATGGCTGTCTGCAGTTCCTGGTGCCCATGTTGCAGGACTTCCCTTCGGACTGTTGGGTGTCCCTTAACAAGATGGTGGTAAGTCTTACCTTCCAACTTACCTCGGTTTCTGTCACGCAAATCTTCCCCAACTCTCCTAAATAGCAAGTTCTCAGTGATTTGTGTTGCCCAAAGTTTGAGCATTATTTTCTACAGTTACACACAAATAGGAATGAGCCATTTTCAGTCCAGGAACTGAATCTTGGACACAGCAAATGGTTGAGTCCTCAAATTATGCCTGGACAATTCCACACAATATGCAAATAACAAAGCCAACACCTCTACTGATATCATCAGTATTTGACAGTGTTAATCACATGGGCACATTGGGGAGCCGACTCCATCACCTGCTCCTCTCTCTTTCTCAAGTCTGCCAGGCACTTCGAGTCACCCCTCCCTCACTGCTCACCATCATCCATCTGTTCTAGAAGTTCTCCATGCTGTTTAGTCTAGTTTGAAGAAAAGACACTGTTTGGACATTTGCTACACTGATGTATACAGTAATCGATCGTAACTTGGGTTATCTGGGGATTCACACGTGGGCAGAAAACCACTCTGACAACCAAAGGCTGGCTTGTTTTAAACCTTAGTGTAAACGATTGGCGACAGTTTGTGAATAGTCGTCAACCAGTCTGGTATGAAAAACGCAACACGCTTTTTTTTTTTTCAAACTGAATTTACCAATGGATAGGTTGACAAACTCACAGAGTTGAATAAATCTAAGAAATGCAGATTATTTAGGGTTTCCCTGCCTGGTCATCCTTTTTGAGACTCATATATGCCGCCATGTGACATGGGGACAAGTTTCTCATTGGCTTTTGTTCCCACAATAGTTGCAGTCAGTCTAGTCATTGCCAGTGCTTAGCAATCAAGGTCAGCAGCTTTCGAAAGGCAGATTGCTTGAAATGAAAGACGCAGCGTTAAACGATCCGTCTCATTATTTCAAGTGTCCGCCTGTACTCTCAATAGGCCCTTCTTTGTGCGGTAATGAAGCCTGTGAGTCACACTCACTGAAGAGTTGCTTCAGCAAAGGTGCTATAAAACACTGGACAATTTACAAACCTTCCTTCATTTGTTAGAACACAATAAAACTTAAAGAGGCATTACCATTCAGGATACTGAAAGAAAGTGATGACATTCAGACAGTGTGAATCCAGTCCAAATCAGTATCACTTGTACTTGCCTTCTTCCTGTTTGCAGATATCCAGGGTCAGATTCTGAAAATATGTCTTCAATAGTTGTTGGAAAAAAACATCATGTTCATTAATGTAAGCCTAGACTAATCAATATCACATCCAAACTGAATTAAAATTCCTTGTTGAAGTGCATAAATGAGTTACAGATGATTCAACCACAATTCATCTGCCACTGTGTTTCCCGCCTCTGGTAGATCAATGCACTGAAATACACCCTTTGATCCCTTTTGATCCAGCTGTGCCCTGTGATCCATGACCTAGCATCTTTAAATCCGTCTGTGCACGGTTAGAATCCCAAATAAAGCATGTCCGATTCAAAGGTACATGCTCACATATGCATTTTTTAAGAGTCTTGCTTATGAGCTCTGCAAACTTGAGGAGCCATTCAAAGTTAAAGTGCCCCTATTATGCTATTTTAAAGTTTCCTAATGTTGTTTTGGAGTCTCCTACAACAGGTTTACATGCATCAAAGGTCAAAAAACGGTTTCATTTCCTCATAATATACATTTGCACATCACCACATTTTCAATGATTCTCAAACGACTCGTCAGATGAATCAATCTCTCTAAATCCCTCCTTTACGCGAGTTACTCTGCTCTGATTGGCCAGACAGCTCAGTCTGTTGTGATTGGTGTACCGCGTACAGCGCGTCGAAAACAAAAACGCCCATTGCCATAACAACATCAGCTCTGCTTGTCCTAAAGGCTTCCTACACAGTAAACTAAACAGACTAATGAACAATGACGTCGATTGTACCATATCAATGCGAGCGCGAGTCCAAAGATGAAACATTGGAAGAACTATTCATCAAACCCGAACCCCCATCGCAAGAACGACTCGAGCAGGACGTTTCTCAGTGATATGCTAACGTTACTCAGTTTGCTACCTCACCATCAGCATTAACAAGTGCATGTCCATCCACAAACCGATTATTTTACTTGTACTTATTAATTTACCAAGTATTTTTCTAATATATTGCGGTGAACACGTGGAAACTGTATCAATAACAGTGCATGTATGCAATGTATACATTAGCCGAGCTCTAGCGTGAATGACTGATGTAACATACATGTTGGTAAAACAAATCTTGCTCCATGCTTAATCTTTCCTCAAAGTAGTGAGAACGACAGATAATCTGCATTAATTGACACAGTTTTAGGTAATAGTGGCCCACAGCTGCTTAGCTGAAGTATTTCAGTGATAACATGAGTTAGCCAGTTAGCTGCTTAGCAGAAGTATTTCAGTGATAACATGAGTTAGCCAGTTAGCTGCTTAGCAGAAGTATTTCAGTGATAACATGAGTTAGCAAGTTAGCAGGAGACCTACACAATATCAAACTCAAAACTAAGTATTTTGAACACCATCTTTCAAGAGCAAGCAACTTGCGAATCCTGCATTTAACTCCGAGATTTGAGAAGTAGTCGTCAGTAAAATAAAGGGAACACCGCAAAAGTTTAGGATTATACTGCTGTGATATCGTGGTAAAGATACATTTTAACCACTGATTCTTCACATGCTCATCCTTGGGCAGTGAAAAAAAACTGTCTTTACCTTGTACCTTGTCTTCACATTGTAGACCACAGGGTCTTCTCGACATGATGCTGTCCAGTATCCACAGGAATCATCTGCCGGTTTGAGGTTCAAGTTTTCCCTGGTGTCTGCGCGCGCAATAAGTGGGCGGGCAATAAGCTAATGTTTCATCTTGACGTCACGACGAAACGGCTTATGACTCGTTTGAAAAACGATTCATTTCATTGACTCAGAGTCGACTCTAACTTTTGAAAGACAATAACTTTATATACGGTGCACTTTCAAATTTAAAACTTTGCAGGAGGTTAACTTAGAGCTATGTTACACACTACATGAAAGGTAATTTTCAAAAAAACATAATAGGGGCCCTTTAAGATAAGCATCCCCCAGACATGCACAGACACACACGTATAGACTGAAACGGGGAAGACTGAAATCTCACATTAGGACAAAGCCGTTTGTTAAAATTATGTTTCTAATCTAAAATTTTGCCCAAATGACACAAACACACAAAAACATTTTTCAGGCTGTTTTATTCAATGTTACTATATGTTAAAGTCAACAAACAACAAAGGCTATTGGCTCTTTAAACTGAAAGTCGGGACTTCAATTCTCACAACTACCATATTTATCACTACAACATTTTTCTAAAAGTGGCTTGTCTTCACCACCATAAAAATAGTTTGCTCTTTCACATATACATGATTAAACAAGCAATGCTACAGAAAACCCTTTGCACTGCAGCTAATTAGCTCTCTATATTTATTCAATTATAAACACCATTATAATACCTCAGCAAGCCATAATAGACAGTAACTATTAGGGTGATTTTTTTTCCCTCAGCAGAATGTAGACTGTACAAAACTCTATGTTCATACTTCTCCAAGAAAAAAGCCATGCAGTAAAGACAAATTACTATGCTAGTTGAACTTGCCCAAAATCAACTTAATAGCTAAGTCTCTTCATTTCTGTGCCAGTGGGGTAGAGTAACACTAGGTTAAATGTGCGCTAAGGGCATTCGATAAGCAAACGTAACCAAAGCACAATTGCTTAACCGGATCTACCCTAATGTGTGCTAATCTTTCATTTAGCTCATTCCAAATCATGCTAGCAGCACTGCAATTTATGTCTGCTAAAACAGATTATGCAGCATTAAACATTTCCTCTTTCTTTTCCCATAAATGCAGGGAACAGGAAATAATTTGTGAATGCCTATTTATCCACAGAATGTAGAACATGTGCTGGGGTGTTAATGGGCAAATGTTTCAAGGCTAAGCAATTGCTCAATGTGTTTATTTGCATACACCTTACTGAGAAGCATACCACTGCCAAGCAAATCTTTGTGTTTATAGTGTTTATGTAGCAGTACAAATCCTGAGAAATCAGTCTCACAGTGCAAAGCATGACTCAGATCCATCTAAGTATAAACTTAAGCAAAAGAAGTGGATATTTCATTTATTTCGTTCCCATGCATATGTCAGGAGGGTTCAAATGTGGAACTTTAGCAGTTTATTGTGTTCATTCAGTGTTTAATTGTTGACCTGTGCGCTCACTGAGATGTTCCAGTTAACCCAGAAAAAAATGTATTGTTCAGGGTATGTCTGGAAGTCTTGGAAGGCAGACATGTAAAGAAGATGGAAAGCAGACATGAAGGCAGGCACACTGAGACACACTGCCCACACTGCATGCTTTCTACACTGCCAAGCCTTGCAGTTTCTCAAATAAATGGTTAGACTCCAGACAATGTCTTCTTGGACTTGTTTGCATTTGTACTTGACAGGATTGTTGGGGTCGAGGCAACAATTTGCTTCTTCTTTAGGACTGTATAGTTGAGTCTGCAAACATTTATATTTCTAATTTCTCCACGACACTTGCACTCTATAAACACTGTCTTTGCACCCAAGCTGCCAATGATAGCAGTCAGGTGTGTCCTGGCCTCAACAGAGGCTTCCTCCATCCCAACCCTAGTAAACCACTTCTCAACTCATTTCCACAAAGTAATACCCCTGATTACCCACCACCCCATTTCCCATTTTCACCTCTTTCCCCCATCTTCGTCATTCAAAGTCACCCGTGGCCTCCTTGACTTTGATTCAGGATCTTCATAGCCTTGTCTAAACCTGCTCGAAGTGAATGCAAATTAGGTTAAGCACATTTCACGGGAACCCATCAGGTCAATCCTGAAAAATCAGTAGCTTATGAAGAGAGGCGAAGCACTTTAGCGTAGCAGCTGAGGTCCTATGCAGATATTTGCGAGGGGAGGAAAGACTTTTTAACATTATGTGGTCCAATTAACCACCTTTAAATAACAGACAGAGTGATGAAATAATGAATTTATCACAGGTCCATGGCACACGTAGCTATCCAAAGTACAGTACTTGGCAAGCTGCCTTTAATAGGGGTTTTGTATCATGAGCCAAGATTTTGACACAAGGATTAGTGTCCAGAGGAGATCATGCTCAGGAGAGTGTATCTGGTGCTGATGAAGTAATCAAAGTCTCCCTTTCTTTTTTTTATTTATCACTTTCTCGCCTTCCAATTTGCAGAATGACTCCTGGAGTGAGCTGTACTCCTTTGCCCTGTTCAAGGCCATGAGCCATATGCTGTGCATCGGGTACGGACGCCAGGCCCCAGAGAGTATGTCTGATATCTGGTTGACCATGCTGAGTATGATCGTGGGAGCAACCTGCTACGCCATGTTCATTGGCCATGCCACCGCCCTCATACAGTCGTTGGACTCTTCCCGGCGCCAGTACCAGGAGAAGGTGGGTACTATGCTCCGGACACACACACACACACACACACACACACACACACACATACACCTGCAGATGACCTTCTTATGTGTCACCGTTTGTTTGATCTTGCCAGATCAAAGTCGGTACCTATCGTCTGTTTGAGAGGATGAAACTGCTCAGGCCAACTATCCCCACGGCTGAGGATTCTGGGTATTCTCTGCAATCTGGTCTCCCTCTCATCTGATCAGTTGTCAGTCCCTCCCACGGCTGTAATTCGGTCTTCTTTGATTCCTAATCACGGCATCTGGTGCTTGTTTACACCGGCAACTCTAGTTTGCAACCCGTGTCTAGACGTCACAAACGATTTGGTTACAAACTTCTTATCTCTGCACTTTCCATTGAGCATGCGACTTTCTGGATCCTCCCTTTTCTTGAAAATATATAATCGTTTTGTTATTGCCATGTGCTTTAAAAGAAAATATTTTTTGGGGAGATTGTATTTCAAAGAAATTTGATGTCCACTCAGCGCCGGCGCTATGAGGGTCACTGTGCCCCCTCACCTCTGCTCCATTAACACATTAAAACACAAGAATTTCAAGATCAAGCACAACATTTCAAGGTATTAAAATGTATTTAAAGGAATTTCTGCTCATCATTATTTGCATGCCTTAGATTCTTACTCTAAACATATATATATATATATATTACGATAAGATTTGAAGGAATGATGTAATGCAGAGAATCCCAAAGGGACTTTCGGTGGAGCTCATCAAATCTCGCCTCAGGCGGCAGACTTTCCTGTTCATTAATCACTAGCAACAGAGCTGCTTGCCGTCAGATAACAGAGCCACTGAGGCAGCAGGGGCGTAGAACGAGCTAAAGATGCCAACAAAAGCCATTCTTTGCATGAGATAAAGGGCCCATAGGAAGCTGTTTTTGACCTCATGATCCAGAATAAACGCAATGTAATGTTTCTTTGAGACAACATTTACATTAAAAAGCTGATGATTTTTGTGCATACTTGAGATGAAGGAGATCTCACTGGTGGAGAGGAAGAAGTGGATTACTGTGATGGTGGTCCTTGAGTGCTTGCTTTTCTAAAATAACAGGGATATATTTACAACATATTGACCCAGAATATGCTTTCTAGGATACATAAATGTATAGTATATATTCAAAAGCCACTGTAAAAAGCATAGGGTACTTTTTTGAGTGAACTTTAAAATCCCTTCTGTAAAAGGATTTATCACGCCTTTGCAACCTGTATGATGTACAAATGTCCCTGTGTAGATCTCCCATTGTCCATCTCCCCTGCTATGTGGAAACCAATGGATTTCCAGACAACGACAGATGAACGGGACATTAGCCATTACGTAACAAGCATTGCATTGCTTAACTTTGACTTTCAAAAACCTGCTCAGGTCTAGCCTCCAACAAACGCTTAAATGAAGTAGAACGACAGAAGTCTCAGATCAGTTTCTGTCAACATTAGCGCACCCCAGGGAATTGTAGTTGTATGTACAGGCTTGCTGAGATGTACAGATCGAGCTGTATCAATCGACCATTGGGCACTGCAGTCTCCGATTAGAATGTTACAATAATGATCACAACATTGTCCAACATGTACTGTACAAACAGCCCGTTCTCATCCCAAGGCGTCATCTAACTGACGCTTTTGACCATGCGTCAACACGCCGACGCACATGGTACCCCTTAAGCGTCAATATGAGATGCGCCTCCTAGTGGTCTAACCCTAACCCTACCCCAGACCTAAACCTACCCATAACGGAAAATGACGCTACCCATGACGCTAAAGGGTGCCATGTGCGTCGGATTTAGACGCATGGTCAAAAGCGTCAGTTAGATGACGCCCGAGGATGAGCGTCTCATATTGACGCTTAAAGGGTACCATGTGCGTCGGCATGTTGACGCATGGTCAAAAGTGTCAGTTAGATGACGCCTTGGGATGAGAATGTGTTGGTACAAAAGATAATATACTGACTGCATCATGTATGGAAACGATTTGATTTTACAGAATAATATATTACAATTCTTTTTGCAGGAGTATACAGCAAGAATTGTTTGTGATCTTTGTTTAGGGTTGTGGACTACAGGGCTGTAGGGGTCTGGTTATTACCTAACAGTAAACCATCATAATCCTAGTTGGCGTCGGATACCTATGGTTAGGGGTGGGCGATATCTCGATATTTAAAATATATCGAGATATTTTTTAAACACGATATGGATTTTGACATATCGTATATATCGATATATTGTTTATATTTAATCCTGATTTTGCCACTTTGCTAGTTTGCCTTCTCTGTGCTGTGCTCGCCCCCGCCTCCTTGCTTTTGTTCCCCCTCACCTGAGTCGCGTGTTGTCTCATTCAACAATTGTCTCATCCGCAACCAGCCCGGAGGCTACAGAACTCCGAGTGTGTCTGCGCGCGAGCGACAGAGCACGAGAGAAACCGAGTGTGAGCATTAATTGCATTAGTAAATTGGTAGCCTACATACTACAATATATAATTACTATATAAGAGGCATGGAAGTTCGATTAATGGACTCCAGTAATCAGAAGGCTACTACAAACGTCTTGTTTTAAACTATTGCAGGGCTCGAATTTCGGCGCGGGTATTGCGCATAATTCTAATCATTCCCGCAGGTCTCCCATTTATAATGCGGGAAATTCCCGCAATCGTAATCCACACAGATTATAAAATCAAATCATTCTTTTAACAACTATCTGCCAGACGCAATTTCACAAACAGCGTGAGTGTTCAGCGGTGCCGCTTCTTTCTCGTCTCTCATAATGTGTTGTGCAAGGCAAGCATCAAGAGCTGCGGCGATAAAACACACTCGCGTTTAGGAGTCGGGACATGATGGATATTCACTCGCACAATCGGGCCAGCAGTGCATCGTGACTGAAGTTTACCATTTGCACGTCTTTTTAAGTCTTACCAGTTTAAACATTCAAGCGATTTTAAACTAATCAGTGCTCGCGCGCTCTCTGAGAGATTATTTTCTATGCGCACATTCATAGAAAATCCGCCTTAAGAACAGCTGGCCAGTAACAAAAGTTATTTTTCGCGGATTATATTGCTTTAACACGCAAAATTGTCAATTTCGGTCGTCGTGAGTATACTCTAAACATAGTCGGTTTTGTCTTTAATAAGCATAAAACGCATGCCAGTATAATGAACACAGGATCCGTGCACTAGCTCTTAAAGTGACGGCAGCCATATGTGTGTCATTCATTTTGTTGTCAATACAACAAAAGATAGCTTTAAGTTAAAGGAATCAGGATTAATAACCTATGTATTTAATTTATTCAGGACTAAAATACTACTCAGTGTTATTTTCCATTTGATTTCTTTATTCAGTTTCTGTATATGAATCACGTGATTATTAATGATGACGAAATTCAGGCCCTGTGTTTAATTTTTCTCATTTGGTTACATTCTGTTATGGAAAATTAATTTTCTATTGATTGTAGGCCTATATTTTGAGTTGTATTCACATTCATTTTCCTGTAAAGATATCGAGATATATATCGAATATCGAGATATAGCAAAATATATCGAGATATATTTTTTGCTCCATATCGCCCAGCCCTACCTATGGTTTAAATGTATTCACTGATGGACTCTATGTCCATATGGAACGAAAGCATGATATACGGTTCACAGGACTCAGGCTTTCATCCCCCCTCCTTGGTGACTGTGATGACCTTGATGCTTTGGCAGATGGTCATGGGAAATATATCATCCCTTTATGTCACTGACTGAAGATGAACTGCATGTCCCATTACAAAGATAAAAAAAAAAAAAAAACCCAGTGGACTGGCTGAAAATGTGATTTGATTTCATGCATTTAGCACATGCGCTAACATAGTTCATAATTAATTGCTTGTTTCCACATGTTTACTGGAGCTGTGTGATTTGTAAGCTAGCTTGATTATGTTGTAAATTTTTACAGAAACTAAATTAACAGTTTGGAAAATAAAGTCCTGGTGCTGTATGGAGAAACATTGCTAAAAACAAGCAAGCAAGCAACAAAGACCGAGGTAATATTTAACAAGCACAAATCAGTTCAAATGTCAGAGTCAGATCAGAATATGTCAATTCAGCCATATTGGATGAACTAAGATGATTATCTCTAATATATTACGCAACATTGCATCAATTCTTTGATGACTTCTGCTAGGAAGCTTACACAGGTTAATCGGGTCATCTACCTGTAGGTCACCAGATGTGTAGCTTATTTTATTTGTGCTAAGCTAACGCTAGCTCTGTTCTGTGACAGCCACGTATCTATCTATCTATCTATCTATCTATCTATCTATCTATCTATCTATCTATCTATCTATCTATCTATCTATCTATCTATCTATCTATCTATCTATCTATCTATCTATCTATCTATCTATCTATCTATCTATCTATCTATCTAAATCAGGATTTTTTCTTATTCTGAAACGGACTGAACTGGGAAAAAAAGGCATTTAAATTTGCTGCTCCTTCTGCCGGGAATAATTTTCAAAATAAGTTGAAACTCAGGGAGTTTGTTTCATTGGACATTTTTAAAGCGATTTTGAAAGACTTGGAGACAGAAACATCTGTTTGTAGATGGTTTGCCTGACTTATGTATTGATTTACTTATTTTATTTAAAATTTGCCTGTGTCTTTTCTATATATGTATGGATGAATGTTATTTGTTAAACCCACGTGAGTTGTGTGCTGATAATCTTTGCCAGGACGCTCTTGCAAAAGACATTTTTAATCTCAATTTGCTTTCTTTCCTGGTAAAATAAAGGTTATAATAATAATAATGATAATAATATCTATCTATCTATCCGAGTATAAACAGAGAACAGTTTCCTGAGATATGACCCAGTCTGAGACCAGGTGAAATTGAAAGTTTCCTAAAGTGTTTTCAGTGCTAATGCACAGTCCTTGTCTCTACGTAATAGGAGACTCAAACAGTGATCGCAACAAGGTTCAAGTAATTGGCTTCACATTTCAGCTTAACACCTTGTCTTGCTTCATGGCTGATTGAATGAACCAAAGAGAGGAGAAAATAGACTTCCTTGATCGAAAGAGACAAAGCGTAAATTACAGAGTGTGTCGAGCTTGACGAGACGAGCGGGCTCTGTTATTTTGAGGTGGCTAAATGTTGATGTGCAAGTAAACACATTTGTGGTACTTTCTTTAAGCACAGTTGTGTCAATGTTAAACAGTCTCTGATTAAATTCTCTTACTTAAGATTTGCACTTTTAATACTTTTAATTATTTTTACCACTACATGCCTCCTCCTATATATGTAAAGTGGGTTAATTAAAGATGTGTTTTATTCACAAAACTAGCAATTAGCATTGTGCTATTACCCTACGCAGAAAGAAATGCAAAAAAAAAAAGGTGAAAAGGGATAATGGCATGCTGAGAGTCGGGACCCCCTGGTTGTTTCTTTCGGTAATGTGCGATTGTATAAATCCCTTATCCAATTGTAATTAATTAAGATCGATTTAGATTAGGATTTGGGCCGGATTACTGAAACAAAAGGTTTTCATGAAATGGGTTTATGATAGGGATTTCCACTCTGAGCTAATTAAAGTCAGTCAGTGCACTTCTCATGATTCCCCTCCCACTGCCAAAGGGATGATGAGTAATAGTGTGCAAAAAAAGTATTCTTGTCTCTTCATAACATTAAGGTTGAACCACTGTAGTCACATGGACTATTTTAACAATGCCATTACTACCTTTCTGTGGTAATACCGTTGCAGTCTACGGGAGGGTCAGATTGCTCTCGGATTTCATCAAAAATATCTTAATTTGTGAACGAACCATTTACTCACCCTCATGTTGTTCCAAATCTGTTTGGCACACTGAAACAAAAAAAAATTTAAATAAAATAATAATAATAAAAAAAGGTTTCTCGCTTTAGCAAACACCAATAATAAACCAAAATCCCTCCATACAACAGCACAATGGCCTGTACAATAGACAGTACCTGTCACTAACAAGTGCAAAACACTGCACCCCCGTTAGTAGCCCAAGAATCGACCCTAGGCTTGTTAAGCCGAGCATATGTCACCGCGCACATACCGACAGTCATTATCCACATGCCTTTTTCAACCAACACCATCTAACCAGCTGGGAGGTCACTAAGGAGCATCACCCTTCCCCCATGTCATTATCCTGGTGTGCACATGACCCAATATAGTTGAGTTATGTTGGAATATGAGGTCTGAGAGGCCACAGAAGACTGTCTCACATTTAACACTGCTTCAGAAAGATTGTGACACAAGGTTCAAATTTATCACCCAATCGTATACTGTAAATAGCCTCCCTCCTTGGTAATAAGTGTTTGATGGAATCTGAGATCTTGACTGCAAAATAACCTTAACTTCATCTTCATCACCTCTGTTTGTCTGTCTGTATCTATTCAAAATATACTCTTAGTCACTTAATCTACGCTCACTACTCTTAGAATTGTCCAGTATCATATAGATGGACTTTCATCTCTATTTAAATGTAAAAAATGCAGCGGATTATTAAATGGATCCACCTTGACATTGCCATCAGGATGTGTGTGTGTGAGAGAGATGCTGCAGAGATGTCATGAGCTGGTGTAATCAACACACTCTCTAACCTCCGCACTTTGCCATTCAACATAGAGACTGTTAATATGACCCCCTGCTTCATAAAGTCACAAGGTTGGATTTTCAAAATTTGACCTTTTGTTAACCTGTGAAATATAGCCACCATTCTATATCACTGATTCTTGAGTACTAGGACAAATCAGACTATATGATAGAAACATTTCTTTAGAATTTAATTTCTGCAACACATTGTTCTGACACAGAAAATATAACAATAAATATAGATATTTCCCTTGTGAGATTGTCAACTATGTGACAGACAAACTGTATGCCACTACACACACTGATTAAGTGCTACACTTTAAGACTCACAATGTATACATTTTTGGTCTATTCTGCCACATGTACACTGATTATTTTAAAATACTTCTGAGATTTTTTTTTTTTAATTTATATTTGTGTAAAAACGGTTTCATCATAAATCTACTTTAAAGGTCATTTTGTAGTTTTAAGAGATGTCATCCAAAACTCCAGTCCATGTGGATGTAAATAATACCCTGAAAGAATATCAGAAGAGGCATTTACATTTAAAATGTAAAAAAATCAGCCAAAACATAGTCGAAAATGACAGTAACATAGTTGACAGATAACATAGTTGACAATTTCACCATTTTGCCTCAATTTCAATTGCAAGCTTTGCCTGGCCAACCAAATTTTATTTTCTTGATTAGGGTTAACCTCACATTTTAATATTTATTTGAAAGAAAACAATACAAATACTGCAAACCATAACAATGTATCCAACATAGTTGACGGGCAATTAATATACTCATTGACAATAAGTCAATGGAGATAAAATATATAAAAAACAATTAAGAGGATATTTACCATAATGTGTTCAAAATATCCACGGCAGAAGAAAATATCACAATGTTGGTCACATGGTTTGGGGATAATTTTTTATTTTTATTTTTCAGGTTTAGGTTAGTAACAGTTGACAGAGTTTTTGCGGACATTAATAAGAAAATTTTATTTAAACTCATTTTTTCTCTAAGGTATTCAGATTTTTTTTTTTTTTTTATATATATATGGAAAATGTGTTAAAAATATTCTAGTGATCATGACGTATTAGTATCAAAGTGAAAAATTCTGTTATTTAAAAACTAAATGACAGGTAAAGTAGTGTAGTAAGTCTGTGTTATAAAAATCTGTGATATGCTTTTGAAACATCAATATATTCATAATTAATTGTTCTATGTAATATAATTTCCACACAACATACAAACATAGCCCAAACCATTTAACACAACAAATGTACTGCATATTCCAGTAACAAACCAGAAAGCCATCACAGTACAGAAGATGCTGCAGAGAGATGGTTAACTACATATGCTACGCTATGAATAGAGCTTATCATCTGATTCATCATACTCTTCCTACTTTGAGAACATCATATTATCATACACTCTTTAGTCTATCACATCCACCATAAATAACTTCCCTTGATGTTTCCTAAAATAGCACAAACGCCCATACAGGAAACCTAAATTTCGGGTCAAAAGTGTGTCCTGAGATGTCAGCTAACATACATACCCTGTGTCCATTTTCTCTTCTCAGTACAAGCAAGTCGAGCAGTACATGTCTTTCCACAAACTTCCGGCCGACTTCCGGCAGAAGATCCACGACTACTATGAGCACAGATACCAGGGCAAGATGTTCGATGAGGAAAGCATTTTGGAAGAACTGAACGAGCCATTAAGAGAGGTACCAGTTACCAACAGACACTGTACACAATTGATAACTTGTGTTAAAACTGACAGTAAACTCACTTCCGCACCTCCAGGAAATAGTCAACTTCAACTGCCGGAAGCTGGTGGCGTCCATGCCGCTCTTCGCCAACGCAGATCCCAACTTCGTGACAGCAATGTTAACCAAGCTCCGCTTCGAGGTCTTCCAACCAGGAGATTACATCGTTCGAGAGGGAACTATCGGCAAGAAGATGTACTTCATTCAGCATGGCGTAGTCAGCATCCTGACCAAAGGGACTATCGGCATGAAGCTCTCGGATGGCTCCTACTTTGGGGGTAAAGACCACACAGAAAGACCATCTTATTAATTTGGCAGTTTGAACATCATACTCAATATAGTACTTACAGAAAATGCGTTTCCAAGGCTAAACTGTTGTATGGGTACATTTCCAAATTGTCGTGTTGTGACATCCTGTAAAATATTAACATTCCAAAATAAAAGTCCCTATAGGAACTTAAAAAAATACTTAAAACTACAATTTTCATTTCCAAATGCAGTACAACTTAAGTTATCAAATTTAACAAACAAAAAAAAACTCTTGGAATAAACTCTAGTTTACCCACAAGGATCCTATTAGAACATATCTTTTTACTATTATACTTACATAATAATTAATATAGTATAGTTAATTATAATTAATATACTTTTAATTGAATAATAAACTAAACCACTCATAAAATTTGTACTATTATACTTATAATTAATGCTGCACTTTTACATTACCTAATCAAATAAAATCACTCATTATATTAAAATAATCATACCAAACTCAATCATATTGCAATGAATGGTAAATTACTTACAGCCAAATATTTTTCCAAGGCTAAATTGTTATTAGCTATTAATGTATATTCAAATTAAATTTCAAAATAAAAGTCCAGGGAGGAAATTATGCACAATTTATTTTATTTTTTTATAAAATGAAACAATACTGCAATTTTAAGGAATTGCTTTAATAGTCAACATTATTTAATTAATCCTCCTGTTCACTTTTCTTTTTGATTTTTTTTGATGAAAATCAAAAACTGAACAGAAACGAGTTTTAAAAGTGAATTAAAAATAAAACAAAATTGAAAGCATGCTGAAAATGTTTGCAGCCGTACATTATTGCACCTTATCATTGCTCCATCTGAGGCCCTAACAGCTCACTTGCACTGTGACTGCAGTGATAAATACCACTGACATTTAAACATGACTCCTTAGTTACTCCCTCCAGCAAGCTTTGTCCCATTTAAGATGCTGCCTTCTTCGAAGTGGCTTGCGTTGGTGATCCAGAAAAAAGCAGTGTTTCCCCCCCCCCCCCCCCCCAGAGTCTTTAGGGCAAGGTCTGGGAGGGGCAAGGAGCAGAGTTCACTGAGGCTGCGAATATACCAGGAGCCAGCGGCACTGAAGAATGGCTGCAGATAAAGAACAAATTTGGCTAATTAATAACACCGAATTAGTGGAGCAGAACAGCAATGGCAGAGCAATTTGTAACGTCAACTTCAGAGAATCCCTGGCCAAAAACAATTACGCTTTACCTTTTAAAATGCATGAATGAGAGGGGCTTATTCATGATGCCAGACTGATTTGTCATGGTACCGATCACAGCGTCTCTCTGCTTGCATGCTTCACATAATAAAAAGCCCACTCTGTAAACATTTTTTTTCTTCCCGAAGTTGCAAAATAAAACAGATTATAATTTAATATGATCTATGTTTAGTTTTATGTTAAAACATAAAATAGATGTTAAGATAAGGATATTCTGAATAATGTTTTTTGAAATAACGGTTTTTGTCCATACAATGAAAGTCAATGGGGTCCAAAAACGACATTTGGACCCCATTTACTATCATTGTATGGACCAACAACAACAACAACAACAAAAAACTATTTATATTTACACATATTTTGGCTATAACACTACATTACCAATAGTAGACAAACTGTAAAAAAGTTATTCATGGCTTGTTAGGTTAACATGAAAAACAGCATGGACATTTGATTCAGTTAATAGCATAAACCATTGTATGCATATTTTACACAATTTAAGGAACTACAAGGCTTTTAAAACCACATTGGGAGTGAGTGACACATGGATACATTAAACATGTGTAATGGCCATGCTTCTTAGCAGCTTACAGAAATGAGAATCATCATTAATCTTCTGAGCTGAGCTTTAAATATCTCAAATTATACACTGAATCGAGCATGTAAGTATATGCAGACATTCAAAGTTATATGTGAATACCTTCAATGGTAAGAACTTTCAGTTAATCTCTTTTAATCTTCTATTAGAAAAACATTACGTAGGTTTGTGATATTGCATGTTCTTTATGTAATGACTTTGAAACAGCTAAATTTGATCTCCACATTTGTGGTAAAGCCCATCATTCTCAGCTTTTACACCAGTGCGCTTGTAAAATGGGAAAATTAATCATCAAAGCTATTTAACCATCAAATCTGGCTGTAAAAGAAGTACAGTTATTGGCCAATCAGTACACAGTTCGTGAGCCCTAGAATTTGAAAGAAAATCGCATGCAGTATTTAACAAGAGGCTGCATGTGCCAACTTTACAAAGGCTTCTCAATAAGGGACATTGCCAAAAATAACTTCAAAGAGCTGCACTAGAAACAGCCAGAGCACTAGGGGTCCACAAAACCACTTATTTTAATTATACACATTGTAATGAAATACAATAATCAGTTCAAAACAATTTTTTATTTTTTATTTTAAGTCATATGACTGAAAAAACCTTTTTTTTTTCAGTAAAAAAAATCCAAACATCTTTAAAAATATTAATTCAATGAGAGACAAATATGTTTTGTTAGATTATTAAAACGATGATACTTAAAAAAAAAAGCAAATAGAAGATAAATAAGAAAAAAAGTATTTTCGTTTTATTTTTTTAATGAAAAAAACAAACATTTTGGCAGTCATATTACTGTGTATTTAAAAATATTAAATAAATAAATAATCATAAATGGAACAAAATTGAATGCTTTTCAAACCCTGCTGCCATACAACTCTAGGACATTTCTCTTTATAAAACTTAATACGGTTGGAAAAGTTAAGTTTATAGTACTGAAATATGATTGAATGTATCTAAATATTCAATATAATCAATTTAACAACACATGGTTAAGTCTCTTTATCTCAAAGGCCCTTATTAAGATGCAGATGTTACCCTGAATTATTGATTTTTTTATGACAGGCAACTTCTACTTGAATCCCTCATTGAGGTTTTATTCACTCTACAGGGATGAGTGGCACAGCGACTTCAATTGGAGTGAGCTGTGCCAACATTTACGTTGAATCGAGGCCACATTTTCAACTGGGTAGATCCCAAATGCTGAGCATCTATGTGTGTGTGTGTGTGTGTGTGTGTGTGTGTGTAGATATATCCCCTTCAGTCAGTGTCAGGATCTTACCTCTATAATGTTGAGTTTGACCTTCCACTCAGAGAGAAGAGGTGTAGTTAGGAGACAAAGCAAACTGACAGGTCCTCTACGGTTACCTTTTCAGGTTTCAACTCCAGTTGTGGTGAAATTTCAATGTGTACTTTCAGGAATAAAGAGAAAAGAGCTTGAAAAACTTAATTAACATGACTATTATGTTGTTGAAGTTTATGTTCCATGGGTTTAGATTGAACACTGCTGAAAAAGAAAACCCACTTAAACCAGCCTAAAAAGGTCAAGGTGGTCTCCTAACCAGACCAAGCTGGTCAAGTCTGTCTTTTTTGTTGGTTTTAAAGTTTTTCTTTTGGCCCTTGTCCACTAGTCAGACTAAAGAGAGCAGCTGACCAACCAGCCAAACGCTAGCTAAGACTCTGCAAAAAAAAACTGCTTAAACTTTTCTTATCTTATTGAACTTGGTCTACTGGCATGGTCAAGTTGGTGTTGCATGGTCTAGTGACAGAAACCACTCTAAAACCAGCAATCCGGACCAGTCTGACATGGCTGGGAAACCAGCTAAGGCGAGCAAACCATCTTAGACTGTTTTTTTTTAAATTGCTTAAAATATATTTGGAATCACTTCAAAAAAGGAAAATAAGGTCAAGTGCAACAGTGCAGCGCAAGTTTGTCATATAGACTACATAAAATTATAATGGAACATTATAATGGTTTTAAATGGTGAGACTTTTGTTTTTGTATTCAGGCTTTCTGAAAATATATAAAAATTTGGATTTAGATTCATCTGCCAATATATCGGTTATCGGCTTTCAAATATAAATAATTATTGGTATCTGGCAAAATTTTCATATCTTTTATGAAAGCATCTCTACTAAAAACCTAATCTAAAACCAACTAAGACCAGAAAACCACTTTTAAAAAATGGTTTAAGCAGAGGCTTTTCTTACATCAGGTACAACCAGCACATAACCTGATTTCACCAGGTGCGACGTTCCTGCATCCTGGATCAATATCTTTGTTGATCCTGGAACAACATTCCAATCAACCAATCAGATTTGAGGGACAAGTTTACAGTTTGTGTCAAGTTTAGGCTTACAACCAGGGTTAGGTGTTTCTACATCAGTATTATTCACCAATCATTTCCCTCTGATTTTAGGGATAACTTATAGGTAGGGTTTAGGGATAGGACAAAATTTTCAGACAGGAATGTTGTTCCAGGATCGACAAAATATGTTGACCCAGGAACGCGGCTAACTCTGCAAAATCAGGACGTGACAAGTACTAAAAGACACATCTAAAAACAATTAAGAACTACTAAGATACAAATGATTCTGGAACCACAACCATGATATGTCCTGTTGATTCTCAGAGATCTGCCTGTTGACCCGTGGAAGACGAACCGCCAGCGTGCGGGCGGACACCTACTGCCGACTGTACTCGCTCTCCGTGGACAACTTCAATGAAGTACTGGAGGAGTACCCCATGATGAGGAGAGCGTTCGAGACCGTAGCCATCGACCGCCTTGATCGAATAGGTAAGTTGCCTAGAAAGTAAAATTGGTTGCATACACAAAAAGCATTATGCTTATAATAAAGAACCACGGTAATACTACAGTACACACTCCGCACATTTTGTGAAGGTGTGTTTACCTGTGTTAGAGGCGTTAAGGGTACACAGCCCAGGATTCCATTTGTTTGGACATTCATTGATCACATCTGTGCTCAAATTCTAATGAGCTCCAAAATTGGTTTGTCTTCAACACGATAGTTTTGCCATTTTTGGCTTGTGTCCTCGGCACATAAACACGTAATTTGCCAAGATAGGCAGGCCACCTGCCCTCCTCACCCCTCTCAGCATCCTATTTCCTTATCTCCCAAGGTCAGTGTGCTGCTGATGTCACTCCCTGTCACATGACCACCTTAGTTGTTTACACATGGGCCATGCAACCACCCCACACGCTGCTGTTGCCATGGCAGCCAGATTCTATAAATGATCAGTTCAGCTCATGCAGGGGAGTTTAGAAAAAGACACTTTGCCGAAGAACATCCGCTACCACAATTTCACAATTAATGACCTACTGCAGTCGCTTACCGTCAATGTTAGCTGTTAAAGTTTATGAACGTCAAAAATGACAGTTTTTTATTTACTATGGGAAAAGAGAGATTCAGTTATTATGTCGATTTGTAGGCCTAACCGGAAGGCTAATTCGCCATGGGCTCCCTCTGTAATTTCTGTAATTAATTCTAAGTAAAATAAAGTTTGTGGTTGACATTACTTGGAGTATTTTGACGTTTTTTTTTCTCTTAATGCATAAATTACAAACCATTTATACCACACATGTACTTTAAAACAATTGTGCAACATTTTTAAAGCACACAATAGCAATGTAAATCTTTTTTACTTTTAAATCGAATTCTGCAAATTTCCCACAACATGGAAATGCTAATAATGCTAAAGATACAAATTCTCCTTTGAGTTTTAGACCACAAACTGAACAGCTCTATTCAAAGAGACATCTAAAACAAGGTGAACATGATGAATGCCATTAATATGTGCTGCACATCGTGTGATATGAACCATGTAGCTGTGGATTTGGGAGACAGCTTGGTGAAATTGCATGCTCAAACCACGAGTGATAGATATAAGTGTTATTTGTATGTGCTTCTGGAGACGGAGGTGAGAGAAATTGAAGGCGATGTTGGGGCCCTGCCAGCAGGAGCTGTGCGAAGGATGTCATTTTAGCTGCAAATTGTCTTGCTAGCAGCAGGGTGCAGGTGATAGGCACGCGCCATGTCGCGAGTTAGTGTTAGCGGTGCCGTGACTCAGCACAATGACACCAGTGCCAGACATTATAGCTTCCCTCTCACTGGAAATCTCAGCAGGGCTCTGGGGCTTGCTGTTCACAGGGAACTAGATGACCCATCAGTCTGAAAATGTAGTTATCAGAAATAAAAACCCCAACAGGAATCCACTGAGTAAAGTGCAAACATCCATCTAAACAAGTTCTGTCAACAGTCAGATCAAAAGACAATACTAGAGGTGTGCAAAATTGCATGTTTTCAAAACTATAATTTGGCTAGATTGGAGTTCACCTCAACCCGAAGGGACACGTTTCTTAAAGGCCATATACATAAGATATGCTCTTGCGGAGGGACACTTTTCCTCCCCTTTTCCCATTGTGCAAGTCCACCAAATGTGATTTCAATGACTCTTCAGCACCATATAAATCACTACATCTGGAAAATGAGACAAAGATTAAGTGTAGTATGTCAGATTAAGCCTTTGCTACTTTGTGTCTGACGATTACTAAAGGCACAGAGTGCAATGGGTTCACTGTAATATGAATGAAGCATTTAGGTAGTTGATACTATCATTAGACATCCATAACTGCAGTATTGTTTGCTAGTTACAGATATAGCTGTTAAAGGTATGATCGAAGATGTGTCGACAAAGCTATAACTGACCATAATCTGTACCTTTCAGGCAAGAAGAACTCCATCCTGATGCACAAAGTACAGCACGATCTTAACACCGGCGTCTTCAACAACCGTGAGAACGAGATGATCCAGGAGATTGTGAAGTACGATCGAGAAATGGTTAAACTAGTTAAACAAGGAGACATGCAGAGGCCCAGGGCCATGTCCATGTCCATGGCTCCTTCAACTCATGGGAGCATGTTTGCACCTTCTAGTCAGCCCTCTACAAGTTCTGCCATTGCTACCCTCCAGCAAGCTGTTGCCATGAGCTTCTGTCCCCAGATGGGCAACACTCTAGTGGGTTCTGGGGCTGTCCAGTCACCTCGCATGGTGCGGCGCTTCCAGGTGGTCCAGAGCCAGACACCCCCAGGCTCCCAGTACTCCACCTTAGCCCTTGCCTCTGCCCTTGCAGGCACACCTGTCCATACCCCTCTGGCAACTACCGGTCGAACATTCCAGTATGGTTCCAGCCCCCCAGGTGCACCCTCAGGCTCCCAGTTATCCCTTGTACAGCAACATGTCCCCAGTCCCACACATCGACCACTGGTTCCCAGGTGCGCTTTAAGCCAAGATGCCCGTGCCCTATCCGCCTCCCAGCCATCCTTACCCCATGATATGGTACAGCCAGTTGCCCCAAGCCCTCCCCAGTCCACCAGAGTCTCTTCCACTTCAATCGGTCCCCCCCAGAACCTCCCCGTCCCTGCTGGTATTAGAGGAAGTATTCCACCAAGAATGGCACTACCCCACCAAATGTCTGTAGGTGCATTTCCTCCTGCCTCCCTCCCCCAGATGAGACCCAGTTTGGATTCAGGACTGCCCAAGAAGGATTCAATAATCAGTCTACCAGAAACTGAACAACATCACATCAGATCTAGATTATCATCAAATTTGTGACCACGATAGTGTTGGCAGGCTTTGCCTGGGTCAGGAATGTGTGGACTCTCCTTAACCAAGAACGTTTCCCGACCCCTTGTCACACCTTTGGATTTTACTCACAGAATGTATGTGGTGCGACTGGTTACAAGGGCAAACAAACCCTCAAGACTTGATAGCATAAAATGAATATGTCTGTATCATTTTTACCACGACCGGGACATTTCCATTGTACCTATGACATAAACATCAATGTAGCTTCCACCCTCACAATTTGCCTCTTTCAAATGGTTTTCTTTATTGTAGCTGCTCACAAAGATGTACCCACTCCCTTTTATGTACTGTAGTACAAATAATGCAAACTGGTATGTGTCTGAATACCGGGACTTAGCAGTTTGCTTCTGATCACAATGTAGGAGCTAACTCCCTCTTCTCAACATGAACCGGCTAGACATGAACCGGCTAGAGATTAGATACTTAACCTATAATACGCAATATTAGAGTTGTTATAGAAAAATAAAGGTGTATTTGAAGGCTCAAGAGTCCCAAACCGGTTTCAAAATGAGAACTTCTGTCCATGTCTTTGTCTTATTCCTTCAGACCAAAGGAGGCCAAAGGAAAATGTTAACATAAGATGACATGTAAAGATGTCAAATGAAATGAAAGGATAAAGACAAATATAATTTCATTGCCTTGATTTTGAACGTTTTGTGTGTGTGTGACCATATGTGTGTTTTTTTCTTAGCTATCCCACAACAGAGATCATTTCATCATCTTAATTTAGCGTTGGGACAATTAAACGAATCAACAGTTTCCAAATGAGGGTTCATGGAAGTAAATACCACATACATTTGGAGCTAATTATGCTGCTAACGTACAAAGTTTAATGACTAGGAAACTAATTTGCACTTATCTGGTGCATTCAAATGTATTTAATTACAAAGGACTTAAGTAGCTTTCTTCAGAAAGGTCAGCTTTTCATTATCAATGAACTATTTATTTCAAAAATTGTGGCTCTGTCCTGTTTGTAAAAAATCGTTCTCCCTCACAAATAAAGCAGAGAGTGCATAAATATGACTTAATGCAGTTTTGAGGGGGATCGCACATCTTAGAGGGCAAGTGAGGTTATGCGAGCAAGTACATTAAGGGGTGATTACCCCCTCCTCTGCAATGTGACGAGATCCATCAGGCGACGACGAGTCTCTCCACAATCTGTTGTTTTGGAGCACTAAACTCACTCGCCATGGCTACCTAATGAGGTCTGATGTCCTCTCGATCTTTAAATCCTTGAAAACCTATTTATATTCTGCTGTTACTTACTATTTCACAGCTTGAAAGAGACTATAAGCTCTGTTGTAGCGGCTCCTGTTTGTTCTTGGCATCCTGGAGACGAAGCCAAGCGTAAATTGCTCATTTATGATCAATTCTAAAAAATAACAAAATGGGCAGATGTTTGAAAATGGCATCAGACTGTTCATATGCAGGGTTTTGAAAAAAAAAAGCAAATTTTTTATGACTTTGAATAAAATCATGTCTTTTAAATGATTCCCTGCAGACTCCGCTGTGCACGAGCCAGTGTCGTCCCATAAGCGGATTAAAAAAAATAATCTTATAGCTGCTTTTAATGATGCTCATATCCTCAGTTTATGTTGCACCAAACACAGTTTGTTGATTTTATTCAATATATGCCAAGTGTTATATTTTTTTGCAAAATTCTAAGGAATATTTGAAGCAATAAAGTTTACAGTTTGTCCATGAGAAATTAATATTTGTCTCAGTTGTAGCTATCATTAACAAAATATGCTCCACTAAGTATTACTACGTTTTACTATGCATTATGGTAGAGGAAAAATGTTTTTCTGTTGTTGTTCAAAAGGAGAGCACACGGCATAATTATTGATTAAAAAGCTATGTTTTTTTTTTTAGCAGCGGCTCTGCTGTTCTGTTCAAATAAACTTTCAGAACGTCTTGCGATGAAGCTACTAAACAAACATGCTTCATTAATTAGGATGTTACAAGACCCTGGGGTTGTTTTGCAGCTTTGCATGAAATAGTATAATGATGGGCTGATGGTCTAATATACTTACCGTTTAATGTACAACTTAACGGAGTTCATTACATCAGTTCATTTTAGTCCAGCAGATCTGAAATTCAATTGGTCGCCATTTTATTGGTGTCCTGAATGGAAGTAAACCAGTGACAGCACTGTAAAAAAAGTTACTGTCTTCAATTGTTTTTTAAGTACAATCAACTTGGATGTTTAAGTCATTTCAACTTAAATTACATTAAAGGGTTAGTTCACCCAAAAATTAAAATTCTGTCAGTAATTACTCACCCTCATGTTGTTCCAACCCCGTAAGACCTTCGTTCATCTTCGGAACACGAATTAAGATATTTTTGATGAAATCTGAGAGCTGGATCACTCCTCCATAATAGTCCATAGGCTTCTTCAGGGATTGAACTTGCCGGCCTCGAAAAGTTATTAAAGACATCGTTAAAATAGTCCAAGTGACTACAGTGGCTCAATCTTAAGTTTATCAAGCGACGAGAATACTTTTTGTGCGCAAAAAAAAACAAAATTTAAACTTTACTTCAAAAAACTTTATTTCAACTATTCATTTTCATCTCTTTGGGCCTCGAGTCAGTTCACTAGTGTAATAGCGTAAGCTTCTGTTGTTGTACGTCACACGCATCACGCACATGACCAGCGCCGGCCAATAGTGAGCCTACGTGTGACGTAGCTCTACGGAATCACACTACGTTAACTGACTCGAGGCCCAAAGAGAAGGAAATGAATAGTTGAAATAAAGTCGTTATTTTTGTTTGTTTTTGCGCACAAAAAGTATTCTTGTCGCTTGATAAACTTAAGATTGAGCCACTGTAGTCACTTGGACTATTTTAACGATGTCTTTAATAACTTTTCGAGGCCGGCAAGTTCAATCCCTGAAGAAGCCTATGGACTAGTATGGAGGAGTGATCCAGCTCTCAGATTTCATCAAAAATATCTTAATTCTTGTTCCGAAGATGAACGAAGGTCTTACGGGGTTGGAACAACATGAGGGTGAGTAAATACTGACAGAATTTTCTTTTTTGGGTGAACTAACCCTTTAAACTGACTTTTCTGGCATGCAGTCATCTCTGTTTCATTAGTAATGTTTGGTACATAAGGAGCAGCAGAAGTAACCACATCAACTGGGAAATAATAATGAATTAATCCAAATGACTGCATCCAAGGCCAGCTGGCTTTTTTCTCTATTCTAGTCATAACTGCTGAGATGGCCACTTCAATCATTGGTCTGAAAGATATCTGCTTGTCTCATGTCCATCCATGAGCGTTTTCCAATGGAAAGATGTCTATTTCGGCCTCATTACTGGTACCTAATAAAGATTTTATTTTGGGGTGTTGTTGGGCAAGACAGCAAGCAGAAATAGACGTTTAGTTCATGTTCATGTTCAGTTCGCGATTCTTCCGATCAGAGTGTAAATATCTGTTTCATAAAAATGTATTATGTATTCATTCATCAATTTATATGCAGTAGTCCATAATGACGGTGTAGCAAAATAATTTACATGATTGTAAAAGTGCTGCATCTTTAAGAAAACGCTGTTGCTCATTGCTTTAAGTGACTTCTCAGTCTGTCGCTAAAGAGTTTGAGCTATGTTATGAATGATTAAGTGGAGGGTTTCATCCAATCACTTGATTTGAGAGCAATTTTTATTCTTTCGCAGTGAAATTTGGATGATGAAGAGAACCTTTGGCTGAACCATCTTGCAAATGTACTGTATCTCCAATTAAACATCATGAACAGCTGATTATCCAGATTCTGATTTATCTGATTCACATTGTAAACTTAACTGTTTACAGTAAGTATACAAAACATTTCTTACATTATTTCGACTAAACCAAGTGAACCAGGTCAGTGATTTCAAACAGATTTTGTGAATCATTTAGTTCATTAAAATAATCAGTTCATAAGAGTCACTTTGTTGTGAATCACATTTTTAAAGATTAAACGAGTAAACGAGAATCAAAAAATGACTTGCGGTTTAGTGAGGTTTCGTTTAAATGATTCATATATAGTTTGTGAATCTTACGAGGGATTCATTAATAGAACTGATTTATAAGAGTCGTTGTTTATGAATCGCATTACACTGGTGGCTGTGCTGTATAACGACGCGTTTATCTGATCACATTGCAAACTCAGCTCAGGTCAAATTGAATTTGTTTCGCCTGTAGCTTCAGGAAACACGGGAGTTAAGTGTCTTAAAACCAATATGTGGCGGCAAATAGCTCTAAGCCCATAAGCTATTGCAAGGGTAACTTCCTACGCGGAGGTTGTTCGAGATGTCAGGAAACGAGCAGGTCTTTTGACATCAATTCTCGTGTAATCCAGTGTAGCCTTGCATCGGATTGGTTTTGTTTCGCTTTACCCTTTGTAACAAAACGCTGCCAAAATCCAGAAAACAGAACAGAGCTGCTGAAGCAAGCTTTTGAAATTTCAATAACAATTAACCTTTCGCAGACCCAGAGTGCAAAAATATTGACTTTATTTCTCGCTGAATGCCACGTGTAAATTCTCAGACGAGCGTTCGACGGATCAAAACGTCTTTGTTCGTAAAACACAGTCATCTAAGTGCTGTCAAGTCTTAAAAAAAAGGGCACCACAAGGTCAAACGCCATCCAAAGCTGTCCTAAAGGTGCTCTGATCCATCATCATAAACATCCTCTTGTTTTTTCACTGGCTTTGAATGTGAGAGCCGCCAGCTGTGGGGAGATGCTGGGAGTAAATCATGTCCAAGTGGAAATGTCAGAGAGGGCCTTTCAGACGGGGTTGCCTTGAAATCGATGAGAGGCAGAATCATGTGGTTAATCAGCCCGGTGTTAGCACTCAGAAGTGAAGGAGCGGATCAGAGCCCCGCCGAGAGAGCGTTCTCACTCCATACCAAGACGAGATCGCATACACGCTTCCACGCTCTCGTACTCGCACACAAGGGTGACTCCTGCGGTTTACCTCCGCCAGAACTCTGCTTCAGTGCTTAAGTGATGTCTTTATGATAATATGACAAGACAGACGCACACACTCACTCATCTACCAGATCAAGCGATCCGTCCGCATCACGCACTCGTTCGACGTAGTAAAAAGCAGTCTGTTTTGATGAGGTCTGTGGAGGGCTCTCAGCCTCCTGATGAAAGCGGTCCGTCAGCTCACGATACACTCCTCAGCTGAAGAAATACACTGATTCTTTCACCTTTTCCAGGTTGAAATCACCTACAAGAGAGAAATGACATGATTACGGGGATTTAGCATGAAATATGTAACAACAAGTTTAGCACTCATTATGAAGGCATTGAAATTGGCATGGAAGATGACACCGAGTACATTTTTTTATTTTGTAATTATAACTTTTGCTTTTTGGTGTCTTAATTAGTGTGCGCTTTTTATAGATT